TGAGCATGTATGACGTAAATGATAGGGTTTTGGTACATAAAACAGAAAAAGAATAGTTTTAAACCTTTTCACTCGTCATTTTATTATCTTATTATTTTGTACTAATACTATCAAATTCAAATAACTGAACATATTTCATAATCTCGCTTTCTCTTTCGGTTTCCAAAGACGAATACATTTTAAGGACTTAACGTTTTACTACGTAATGTAATCTTGGAACCAAATGAGATTTCTAGACATTAAAAACTCAATGTCATCCATAAATCTGAGAACATGTAATGTTTATCGCCTTATTCGATATGCCTAGCTGACAAATCAGATCGCAGGATTACAAAATACCATGTCATAATGATGCCAGGTACAAGTACCCTTGGTTAGATAGTGTAATTATATCATTTGCACATCACGATAAAAAATGTATTGGTAACAGACGTTGAGACACAGGTCCCGAGTGTCTGTTATCGAGGACGGCAGTATTGCGTGGGCGGCGTCTGTCAACCAAAGTAATATTGAGTGGGCGAGCGGTGTCGAAATAGACAATAATGTATAACAGACATATATAATAATTGTTGATGGCAGGATTGCGTCGACAAACTTTACAGAGAAAGGAAAATTGCGTGATTATTATTATATTATAATATTCAATATTCAATATATCTACAGTGAAAGGCAACAGTGCGATTTCGCAAATGGCAATTACGCATTGATGACAAGTCATTACTGCGTGGGTGACAAGTATCTTGAATGGCAATAACGCATTGATGACAAAACAGAGAAAATTATTACTGCGTGGGTGACAAGTATCTTGAATGGCAATAACACATTGATGACAAAACAGAGAAAGTCATTACTACGTGGGTGACAAGTATCTTCAATGGAAGTAACGCATTCATGACAAGTATAGAGAAAGTCATTACTGCGTGGGTGACAAGTATCTTGAATGGCAATAACGCATTGATGACAAAAACAGAGAAAGTCATTACTGCGTGGGTGACAAGTATCTTGAACGGCAATAACGCATTGATGACAAAAACAGAGAAAATCATTACTGCGTGGGTGACGAGTAACTTGAATGGTAATAACGCACTGATGACAAAAACAGAGAAAATCATTACTGCGTGGGTGACAAGTAACTTGAATGGTAATAACGCATTGATGACAAAAACAGAGAACGTTATTTCTGCGTGGGTGACAAGTATCTTGAATGGTAATAACGCATTGATGACAAAAACAGAGAAAATCATTACTGCGTGGGTGACAAGTATCTTGAATGGCAATAACGCATTGATGACAAAAACAGAGAAAATCATTACTGCGTAGGTGACAAGTATCTTGAATGGCAATAACGCATTGATGACAAAAACAGAGAACGTTATTTCTGCGTGGGTGACAAGTATCTCGAATGGTAATAACGCATTGATGACAAAAACAGAGAAAATCATTACTGCGTGGGTGACAAGTATTTTGAATGGCAATAACGCATTGATGCCAAAACAGAGAAAGTCATTACTGCGTGGGTGACAAGTATCTTGAATGGCAATATAGCATTGATGACAAGTATAGAGGAAGTCAGTATTGCGTGGGTGACAAGTATCTAAACAGACAATTACGCATGCAAGACAAATACAGAGAAAGTCAGTGTAACTAGGGAGACAAGTATCTTGAACGGAAATTATGCGTGAAAATAGAAGCGACAAAACCCTTTCCCCATTCATAAGAACACTCTGCTAAAAGCAGAGTCGACTGTACAGTTGTGACTTTATCATGAGCATATATTTGTTTCAGCAGGATTACAGCTGTACCATGTTGTTTTTAAACAAATTGTGTCTTGACCAGACAAGCTAGTGATTGTCACCTTGCGATACGATGACAGAGCATGCGTTTATGAATCACCCTGAAACTGTGATGATACCAGGTGTTCGCGGAAAGGTGAGCGTATCCTGCACCTTCGGCGACACCCGTCATAAACACATACAAAGTCTAGTCAATTGTTTCTTCTGAAATAATTCGGGAACTTTTGGTACGAGTCAAAATAGGGAATTGCATCGGACATCCTTTTCGTCACTGATGCATCAAATTTCGAAGTGTCCCTGACATGTCCACCGTAAAACCTTTTTAAAGCTTTACTGAGGGCTTTAATGTTGTAACCTTGATCAAACAACTTCTGAGCAAGAGTGGTATGACGCTCTTTGAAATATTGGTAATAAGTGCAAGCTCGATTGTATCTCAAAAGGCTGGAGATGTTAGAATATGGTTCGACATGCAAGGAAAGTTGACTATTGGGAAGTTGAAATCATAGCATACAGCCTTGTGAAGATTTTTTGCACTCTGAATCTTTATACATAGATACAAAGACAAATACAGAGAAAGTCCGTATTGCGTTGGTGACAAGTATCTTGAAGTGCAATCATACGTGAAAAACAAATAGAGAGACAGGTTAAAATGCGTAAGTGTCTAGTATCTGGAATGGCAAGAACGCAAAGAGATAAAGCATAAAGAAACTCAATAAATGAAAACAGTAAGTCTTTGCCAGGGTCGATTGTTTAATATTGACAATATTGACACACGTTATTAATAAAAATGTTTGCCAATATTATCATTCCAAATATTTCTACCACAAACATTTTGGAAAACTTTATAACTCTTAGGGATAACTACACATATGGACATTAATTTAGCAACACCCGTATTTTCTCATTACAAAATATGTTTATTCCTCTTCTTGTGGTGTTGACAAACTCTTCTCCTGTTGGTCATCTCTACATGCTGTTTTCAAGCACTATAAGGAGAGGGATGAATAATTTTGTCTGTGTCACCCTTATTCCATATAGATACAATGCATGTCCCCTTCCACACACGTACATACATGCATGCATGCATACACACACACACACACACACACACACATACATACATACACACACATAAACGTACATATGTACACACACTATGAAGTTAGGATGCTCTCTGATGGCATTTACAGAGTTTTTTCTATAGAAATACCACTGATTGTTTTGTATACTTGTACCTATCTACGTCACACATTGACTACATGTACTGTACCTATAAATAAGTGAAAAAATGGTAAAGAAAAAAAAGAAAAAATACCCCGTACTTTCTCTGACTCAACAACTTAATGAAATAGTACATGAAATGTGACTGTCAAAAGCTTTCTAAACCATATGAATGTAGTAGTGAAGAAAAAGGGTTAAGGAGAAATGTAACAAAGACTACCATGACCTAATCTGGTTTGTTTGAAGATAGTACAGGTTTGGAAAATGACGTCATTTCATGCAGAATTACGAATTTCACTCACACAAACTTAACTCTCAGTAACATGCATACATCTTGTTCACGAAATTCAAGAATAATGACTTGCAAGTTCAAATACTGACTTTCAATCAATATTTTGTGTAACCTACCTGCACACGAAAAACGTACTCAGGACGTCTCCTCTTTCTTTGGATTAATCACAAGAATCCTGTTCCATTCCTCATGCAAAGCAGCGGTCAGTTTATTGATGGTGAGGGTCTCATATATGTCTCATAAAATGTCCCACAGATGCTGTGAGATCTGAATCATGGCCTGGCATTGTCATCCATAAAGATGGGTGTTGTGGCTGGAGGATAGTTATCAGAATGTGGGGCAACAGCCCTCTCAAGGATCCACTGTTGATACCGAGGCCCAGTAAGGTTACAGCGAATGGCAATGAGGTCCATCCTCCAACCTAGGAATTACATCGTCCCCATACTATGACTGACCCTCCCCAAAGGGAATCGTAATTTTGGACATTTTCGGGAACCATAGCTGTAGTCCTTTGTCTCCAGACACATGGACGACCATCTACCATATGCAGTAAGAAACCCTCCGCCATGAAGCAATGTTCCAGCGAACACGTTGAGTAGACCAGGCATATCGTGCCGCTTTGTGAGCTGGAAACGGTTTCATACGTTTCATGGGTCTTCTGGTCCTGTATTTTGCTGCTTTCAGCCGATTCCTGACGGTCCTGCAGGATGTCGTTTTCCGTGGTAACCGTGCCTGAGTCCCATAAACGGTGCCTACCAAGTCTCAACAATGCTCTCTCTTCTCGTACTGTTGTCCTACGGGGTCTGTCAGGTCTTTGAAGATCTTTAATATCATAGGTAGCCCAGTGTTCGTCCAAGAGTCTTGAAATGATGGTAGGATTGCGCCCAATTTGATGTCCAATTTGTGTGAGGGACATTCCTGCATTTCTCATGACAATAATTTGCTACCTTGTAGCCTGTGACAATTTACGACGTGCCATGACTGACTATTATGGTACTGAATATTCAATCCAGATTGAAACGAGACAGTGTGACATGTTACCTGTAAAAAAATCATTTCCACATTTGTGGGGGATATGACATTTCACGTGCATTGCGTTCCGTTGCACGTGCATTAGATATCTCCACAAAACTTCATTCTACGCAGCAAGAGGCAAAATGTTAATAAATCATTCAGAAAATGCTGTTTTCTAAATTCGCAGAATTATAGGTCTATGAATTATGTGTTGCTTAATTAATTCCATATGTATATATTGAGTTGAATCTTTATGCAGACGTAAACACGAATTAACTTTCAGAAACAGTTGTGCGAAAGTCAGGTCAAACAGCAGCTTTATCTGTTCCTTTTGAGACAGTGTGCCGACCTGTGACCTTTGTGTGGGAGATGGTGAGATAACTGTAGCGATAAGAATAAAACACGATTAAAGTTACAATACATATTGTTTTCATTTTGCATTAGTCTGCCTTTTCAATGGCTTTAATGAAAAGAAAATTATAGTTCAACTTTTTAACAGTGTAAACTATTACCCAACATGTTTTTCAAAGATATGTGGAATATCTAAATGCCTACAAAAAAATGTTAACTGTCAATAGATTTATTTTGCTGATCATGAGTTATCTCCCTTTTGTTTCACTCAGTTAAGTAATCTTGGCAACAATCTGGAACCAGAAAGAAACACAGGTGTCACGTGACCTTTTCCTATAATAGCGCGAGAGCTGTGGCGAAATGACAGAGTGCATCAGAAAGTCATCATGAACAGGGGACTTTGTTTCGCCCTGGCTCTCATTGTCGCCACCCAGGCGTCAGCAGTAAGGAAAAAAGGTAAGTGGTTTTGGAAACATTTGAAGTTTAGAAATTTAAATTTAATATTTATCATATATGTGTAATTTATCCCCATTTAGGGATTTATAGTTAAATCTTTTAATATTTTCATGTTTTCAAATTATAGCCAAGATATCCGATTTGAATGATTACATTTAAGTGAGTGAGTTTAGATTTACGCCGCTTTTAACAATATTCCAGCAATATCACGGCGGTGGACACCAGAAATGGGCTTCACACATTGCACCCATGTGAGGAATCGAACCAGGGTCTTCAGCGTGAAAGCGAACGCTTTAACCACTAGGCTACCCCACAGCCCCCATTACATTTAAGACGTTCAAAGCAAATCATGCATAGCTATATAACGATAATAATTTACTTTTTACTTGAATCTTGCTCATGGATATGTAAATGATACTTCCCTCTACATCAGTGAGAAGACGTGCTTTTGTCAAGAACATTTGGTATCAATTTATCAACAATTTTTCATAGTGATTCATAAGAACATGCTTATACACGGATTCCTACAATGGACTAAGCAGAGGTTTTGTATGATTATAAAAAAGTTTGGTAGCACTGAATTACTTCTACATAAAATGATTTAATTCAAACTAATTAACTTTAAAAAGAACATGCTTCAAACTAGCTTTTCTTCTGACAACGCATGTGAGCGGTACAGATGGCATGTTCTACTGTTCATATGATTTATACACTGGTGTAGAATGTTCAAAGAATGGCAGCATATGTTACGTTTAAAGACTGCTAGATTACAATAAAACAGTTGGCGTACCTCTCAGTATAGATAGACTAGGAAGGTCAGAGGTGCGCCTTGCTTGTGGGCCAGTGTCCATATACAAGTAATGCGTTATCGTGATTAGCCTCAGGTCCCATCTGAAAAGTGCTTGCTGGGCCTTTATCTTTATGACCAACAACAACAGTGACGACAACGACAACAACAACAACAGCGATGACGACTATAATAACAGACAGAAATTGATGTTGCTATTATATAAATGCATTAAAATCAAAAGCATATTCTTGAAACCAATCATATGTCGTTTTTTGTTTTGTTTCAAAGAACATATTTAGTTTTAACTAGTGGAACCGATGCAAATTATTATTAACATATATATATATATGTATATATATATATCCTTTTTCAGAAAGAAGAGCTGCACCTACAGGTAAGTTCGTATCTTGAACTAGAGTGAACTTGTATAAGGTGTTTTCTGAAATCATTTTACAATAAAAAGCTTACAGACATTTACAAGCACGTAGAACAAACCGAATACATCAAGACGTACCCCACCAGCACATGATGTATGGATACAATTAATTTTAAGATATTAGCAAAGAAACTCGATATTCACCTATCTTTCAAGGGAAAGTATCCCTCTGAACTGAGGTTGTTTCCACATGTTTACTCAGGGTGCGGCATGAATCAAAGGGATTTGGTTTGAGAGTGTGAAAATATGACGGTCTGTTACAGACGTCGTCCCGTTTGTTACCAGCTGTTGAATACAAGCTTATCACAGAAGGGACCATCCATGCAGTTACAGTACTCTTAATATATATAGATATCATAAGCTTTGGCGTAATTTTGTTGAAGACACCGGAAATTCGCTTTTAAAAAACTAATTATATATAGTTCGCTTCGATCTGAAGATAAGCTTTTGATCATATAGTCTGGTAGAAAACTTTTCGTGACAGTGTTTCGGTCACTTTACTCAAAACCTACAAGTACAATCTTTTTCTAATATGGCATGATGCATTATAATTGTGATTTTTTTATTTCATGGCTTGTGCTTTAATAATAAAAGAGTTAACAAACTATCATTAAAATATTGACACAGTTCAGTATGTGTTACGAGGAAGGAGTGCAAAGAGAGAAACAGCCAGGTGTGCGAGAAAGGCTCAGCACAGGTAAATGAATCAATAGCACACCTAGCCGTTCCTCTCTCTGCACTCCTCCCTCGTAACAAATAGTGAACTGTGTCAATATTTTACTGATAGTTTAATGCATACTTCAAATACTTTTACTGGGTTTCTGCAATGACGTGATGTAATAATGAACGTCTATGTGTGTTCTATTTAGTAGATACATGCGTGGACAAAGTCGACTGCTCAAAGTACGCAAGCAGCGTGTGTAAAGATTATGGCGATTGGGCCAAGGACAACTGTGCAGCATTCTGTGGAATATGCAAACGTAAGTCTTACGTAAATCTGTGTCTTTCCTCTGTATGTACCTGCATAGTAGCTTTTATGGACACTGAAGTCTTGTTTGTCGCCTAAAAAAAGCGTAAAACATATCATTAGATTATAAAGGATAAATTTGTCCTATTCACAAGCCATCCTTGAAGAATGTACAAACTCTGTGTGACGTACTGTGAGTGCGCACTGTCGTCCGAAAACGTATGACGTCCGAGAACCTATGATCCGACGATAAATTATCAATCTGATTGCACAAGGATAGGTTAAACATGTTCTCTGATGATATTTTGTATTCAGATACAGATAGAGACAAGAATTGTATATAATGTCAAGGCAGTTCAGATATATATGCCATTTATCAAAACAACAATCTTAGTGGTCACCAAAGGTGTTATAAAGCCTGTGGATATATCTACATCATATAAAACATACATACGTTTCCAGTATCCTACAGACTACTTCGTGACCAGTACCAAAATATCTCCTGACATGTCGGCATCATGTCTATTATTTTTCACATTCATTACGAATGGGACAATGTTCATCAATAGCTTCAGTGTTCTGTGGACCCGTGAAGATCCGGGTTAGCATTGGAATTCAGCAACCCGTGCTTGTCGTAAAAGGAGACTAACGGGGTCGGGTGGTCAGGCTCGCTGACATAGTTGACACATGTCATCGTATCCCAAGTACATAGATCGATGCTCATGAAGTTCATCACTGGATTGTCATGTCCAGCCTCGATTTTGCATAGACCGCTGTCATATAGTTGGAATATTGCTGGGTGAGGCGTTAACAAACAAACTGTTCACTGATTGTTCCAGCACTACACACTACTGCACCTCCCCCCTGTGAAGATGTTAAACCCAACTGCCCAGAGTACGGGCTAGATTCGTGCACGAAGTTCGCTCCCTGGGCCCATGAAAACTGTCGCAAGTACTGTGGTTTCTGCCGTAAGTATTGTCGTAAATAGACTCGATATTCTATGTCCAAAAGAACTTGACATTTATCGACGCGTAGATGATCATTCTTCTCTCTCAGTCTGAGTATACGTGTGATCATGAGTGTTAGCGTTTGTACGTGTGAAAGAGAGAGACAGTGTGCGTGTGCGCGTGCGTGAGTGTTTGTGTGTAAAAGAGAGTCAGTGTGTGTGAGTGTGAGTGTGCATGTGTGACAGAGAGAGACAGAGAGAGTATCTGTGATCATGAGTGTGAGTGTTTGTATGGGTGAAAGAGAGAGGCAGAGTGTGTGTGTGAGTGTAAGTGTTTATGTGTGTGAAAGAGAGGGAGGCAGTGTGCGTGTGTGCGTGCGTGTTTGTGTGTGTGTGTGAAAGAGAGAAACAGTGTGTGTGTGCGTGAGTGTTTGTATGTGTGAAAAAGAGAGACAGAGAGAGTTAGTGTTTGTGTATGTGTGAAAGAGAGAGACAGAGTGTGTGTGTGCGTGAGTGTTTGTGTGTGAAAGAGAGAAACTGTGTGTGTGAGTGTTTGTATGTGTGAAAGAGAGAGACAGAGAGTGTGAGTGTGTTAGTGTCACATGAATGTGTGTGTGCGTGTGCGTGTGGTTTTGTATTTGTATACATGATAACGTTTGACGATCGAAGTGTGACCCTCAATCCGTCATAGATTCTGACTACCCTTTCCCCAATTTACAGAGAACATGTCGTGACAAGGAAATCGTTTATTCAAGATGATGGTTCTCTGAACTGAACCACTTCATGTTAACCTATTTTTCATGTCACCATGATCTGAACACCCCTGTCAAGATTTGTGTAGAAGGTAAACCTTTCTGTTTTCAGAGGTACAGTCGACCGGCTTTTGTAAGTATACTAAATGTTAATACGTTAGTATGGTTTGCAAAACGCAATAACTGAAATGGTGAACGTATCGAAGTGAGCACTAACAAAATCCGGGAATATCGAGGACATAATTAAAAACAATCTAATCAACGAGAAAAAGATCTGAAATTGAAAATTGATTTTGAGTTTTGAAAATTGCTAAAATAACGAGAAACCAATCGAAATTACGGAAATGTCATCAAAGTAATTAAACGAGACAAACTCGAAATTTCGAAACAACGAGCAATCAACTGAAATTTTGATTTTGAAATTATATTTATGGCAGCAAAGTTGCAACATTAAGCTTACGTATATTCATTCTCAAGACATTTCTTTCTATTATCTGAGGGCATGTTGTTTTACATAATTCATATTACTGTTAAGAATCTTACTTAGTGTAAGTAATTATATCTAATGACTGGGGGTATGTAGTTTGAAGCTGGTGTTTCCTACCTTCTGCAGATGGCCAGTGCTTCTACCAAGGGAAGACTTACAAACAGGGCGAAAAGTGGGAGGACGGCTGCAGCTACAACTGTGAGTGTGTGGACGGGTCGACCGGCGCCTACAAGTGTACAAACAAGTATGTATAATCAGACCTTCTGCCACTACCACCATCATAAATATCACTTTCATCGTAGGGGCGGTGGGGTAGCCTAGTGGTTAAAGCGTTCGCTCGTCACGCTGAAGACCCTGGTTCGATTCCTCACATGGGTACAATGTGTGAAGCCCATTTCTGGTGTCCCCGGCCGAGATATTCCAGGAATATGGCTATAAGTGGCGTAAAAGTAAAGTCACTCACTTTCATCGTAACGTTTACATCTACCACCACCACCACCACCACCACCACCACTACCACTACTACTACTACTACTACTACTATTACTACTTGTGCCACTGCTGCAACTGCTACTACTGCTGCTGCTGCTGGTGCTGCTACTGCTATTGCTGTTACTACTACCGCCGTCACTATTCACCTACTACTACTACTACTGCTGCTGTTGCTGCTACTACTACTACTGCTACTACTACTAGTAGTAGTAGTACTTATTCCACAACTGATAACTGGATTTAGATATTGATGTGATGAACAACGGGGAGAGTTCTATTGATATACAACTTGACAACGGTGTTAGTAGCTACACCGAAACGTAGCTCATTAATAATAAGGAAACTGAATATCCATAGAACTCTCTCCCCGTTGTTGTACTACGACTGCTTGTAGTGTTTTTTTTCATTTAGATGACCACTGAGCAACGCTTATACGAAATGTGTCATTATGTTTTAAAGTAGACATGTCAAGGAAGGTGGAATCAACATCTGTTCCTTGTCTCCCCAGGTGTCCTGTGTACAACAATCTACCCACGGCATGTACCCTGGTATCCACCCCCGGAGACTGTTGTCTGCATCCCGTCTGTGACTTTAACAAGAAGGTGGTAACCTCCCAGGGTTCAGCCCTAGGGCACACAGCTTCTGGAGTCAGTAAGTAACCTATCACACTCACACTGTGGTGCATACTCGCATTCCTAGTATATATTTATACACTGTCGGTCTATCTGCATATCTCTCACGCTGTGGTGCATACACGCATTCCTAGTATATCTTTATACACTGTCGGTCTATCTGCATATCTCTGAGACTGTGGTGCATACTGGCATTCCTAGTATATCTTTATACACTGTCGGTCTATCTGCATATCTCTCACGCTGTGGTGCATACTCGCATTCCTAGTATATCTTTATACACTGTCGATCTATCTGCATATCTCTCACGCTGTGGTGCATACTGGCATTCCTAGTATATCTGTGGTGCATGTTCACTCTCTCATCTCTTCATATACTATCAGTACATATCTCACACTGTGGTGCATGTTCACTCTCTCATCTCTTAATATACTATCAGTACATATCTTTCACACTGTGGTACATGATCACTCTCTCATTCGTAGTATATGTTCATATACTATCAGTACATATCTCAGACTGTGGTACACATTACAAATGCCATGCCTTATACATGTGCATGTGAGTGCGTGCGTGCGCGCCTGTGCGTGACTATCTCTAGAATTGCTAATGATATGTGTTTGTGTTGTATTTTTTGTTTTATTTTTGTTTGATTGTGTGTGTACGTGCGTGTGTTTGATTTAAACATAATTTTATTCACATATGTGGAAGGGGACAAGTTCTCCAACTTAAAATACCTGATCCCTGATATTTACATACATGCATTTTCAATAATTTACATTAGATATACATATGTACATCTTAGCAATAGAGAAAAGGTATAAGAAAGTTAAAGAGAGCAGAAAGGAAAGGACACAACGTTTGTGATCACTCAAAAACGTTTTGATTGATAGATAAAAGTTTCCGCGCTGAAAACGTCTTGTGAATAGTCATATCTGGCCTTCCAAGTTACATTAATGACAATGTGATTGGAGGGTCACGTTTTACAATACAATTGAGCATTAATGCCTGTCTTTAAGGATTATCCAGTTTACATTCTAATAGGAAATGATGTACATTTTCACATGTATTGTCGTATTGTGCGTGTGCGTGTGTGTTTAGAATCTTTGTAGTTGCATATAGTAGGTATAGGCGTTGGTCACTGTGGAATTGAGGTGGTGGGGTAGCCTAGTGGTTAAAGCGTTTGCTCGTTACGCCGAAGACCTTGGTTCGATTCCCCACATGGGCACAATGTGTGAAGCCCATTTGTGGTGTCCCCCGCCGTGATATTGCTGGAATATTGCAAAAAGCGGCGTAAAACCAAACTCACTCACTCACTCACTGTGGAATTAGCTAACTCTAGTTGGTCACTATCTCTGCATTTCCGTATTCTAGACGTATGCGTCTACAACGGCAACAACTACTACCAAGGCCAGACGTGGGCGGTTGGATGTGATCTGCGGTGTACATGTAACGACGCTACTCAGGGATCGTACAGATGCCAGTCATTGTAAGTGAACCCTGAGCTACCTATGATTCACATACGTCATGGTCGTGCTCAATGCAGTCTGTAGCACTTACATTGCTAGTTCTTGTATGTTTCTGTATCAGGTTTGGGAGAAATATGCCAAAATGACGAAACTATAGTATATCAAGATGGATTGTTTTTAAACAAAGGAACTTGTGAAAGGGTTATGGACATAACCTCTGACTATAGTCTGCCTGTATCAATGAGACATGCTGTCCAAATAATGGTGTCAATAGTACAACCGGCTAGTAAAAGATATAGCGAAAGTCCCCACAGTAGGTGCAACTGTTACAAAGACAACATTGTCTCCGGTTGATTTACGCAGCATCTCTCTCTCTCTCTCTCTCTCTCTCTCTCTCTCTCTCTCTCTCTCTCTCTCTCTCTCTCTCTCAATAACAATTGCCTTGTGTTTCAGCTGTCCCCAGTACGGCAAGCTGCCCACGGACTGCGTCATGACAAAGGATCCGGCTCAATGCTGTGCAAGTCCTCAGTGCACCTTCAGCAAGCAGTTTGGAAGTTTCTCGGGAAGCGGTTCCGTTAGCGGAGCTGGCATAAGTCAGTTGAACATGCATTATTTAGTTCTATTTCAATCGAAGTATAACGTCTCCAAAACTATTTAATCGAGATGGACGCTCGGGTAGCCTAGTGGTTAAAGCGTTCGCTCGTCAAGCCGAAGACACTGGGTCGATTTCCCACATGGGTACATTGGTGTCCCCTACTTTGATATTGCTGGAATAATTGCAAAAAGCGGGGTAAAACTAACTCGCTCACTTTACTTTAATGTCACATAAATGAATGTGTGAACCCCAACTCCTTGCAAGTGTACGATGTGTGAACCCCAACTCCTTGCAAGTGTACGATTCGTGAAGCCCGTCCATGGTGTAAAACTCCATTCATCCCATATGTCAGTGGAAGGCTAACTGCTACATGTGACTGAGTTCAGTTTTATGCCGCTTTTAGCAATATTCGAGCAATATCACGGTCGGGGACACCAGAAATGGGCTTCACACATTGTACCCATGTGGGGAATCGAACACGGCTCTTCGGCGTGACGAGCAAACGCATTAACCACTCGGCTACCCCACGGCCGCTAACTGATAAATAGGTTAGTGTTAACGTGAGATCACTAGAGTTACGGTTCGATCCCGCTGGGGAACAATGTTTCTTATAAATATGTCATAGTAACTGGTCTTGTTTTAACATGGGTAGTGAGTGTTGCTAGCTACACTAATCTATCGGCTGTTTCAGCTATGCAGGGTCCCACCGCCGAGACAGCATGTGTTGATAAACTACCCAACTGCCCGGAATTTACCAAGGATGCCTGTCCTAAATATCCAGGCTGGGCCGGGGCAAACTGCAAGAAATTCTGTAACCTATGCCGTGAGTGTCATCAAACATTTCAACCATTAAATCAACAGGCACCATTAACTGAAGCATAGACTAGGTTACTGACAGCATCAACCCACAATCATTCACCACTCATTCGTAGCGAACCTCGCCTTTGAAATGTCTTGTTTGCATCCCAAGTACACTGTCGTCAGGCTCCCCGTTGTTCTCGGTGCCCTTGGTTTGGTACCTCCTGATCTCTTAGCGCAGATAAGGAGGTTGCCCGGGTTCTCCACCGGGAGCACAGCCCTTCTGACACTCTGGGTAATGCAGAAGGCTGCAGTATTTTCTTCATATTCTCCGGAAAGTTCTTGGTGGGTGCGTCCAGGCAGTGTTTCCTGGAGGAAGTCCCATTCAGTGTCTGGGCTGCGTGTAGAGGGGGCAAGGGCCCTGAGCTGATGATGAGCCTTACCAGCCTGACTGTGCCAGGATCACCCAAACCCTCTCTGTTGCATGCTATCTTTAATCTGTAAAACATAATAATAGCAACTCCACTCAGGTCCAGTCAGTTTATCCTGCAACCCCCCAGATTCACCATGCAAGAACTGTTTGTTGATGTTGTTATTTAACGCCGCACTCGGCAATATTCCATCTATATGGCGGCGGTCTGTAAATAATCGAGTCTGGACAACATAAGCATCGATTGACGCACCTGGGATACGATGGCATGTGTCAACCAAGTCAGCGAGCCTGACCACCCGATCTCGTTAGTCGCCTCTTACGAGAAGAATTGACGGTTTATTAGTATAGCGTCAATCTATCTATATGCAGTAATAGCATCGAAAGGTATAGGACGTCGTTGTGAGAAGCTATTGCGTCACGATCAATGAAGGACGTCATTATTTCCATGACAACTGACAAATGACAAGTTGAAAGCGTAGGTACCTTTTCAACGCGAAAGCGCCGTTTCCTTGTCTTTACAAGTTTCGAATAGCAAATGTTCTGATGTCACTTTTGACAAACCTGAATTACTGAAAGGTTATACTGTATATACTTGAGAGTTGGTTCCTCAATTCTGTTTAAACTAAGTAAACTGGTTTGTTTCACACTCTGTTACCAGATCAAGCACAACCGACACCCGGACCGAATGGTAAGCAAATGGTTAATGGTTAATACCTGAACAACAATATAAGTATACGTTATTTGCCTGTCTTACATAGATATCAATAACCCCACTTTGGTATAATTTTATAATGCTTAAAATAAAGTTTGAGTCAAGACCACGCGTATTTTGTTCTGACATTTTCAATGAGCAAACGAGGAATTATTACATCTATTCCATCTGCCGATGCCGCATGTTTTGAAATTTCAAATCATCTTTATTTACATATAAGACTGGGCGAACTGCCTCGTGGTAAAGTCCATCTCTCGTACTGACATGCACCCGGGTTCGATTCCCCACATGGCTTAAATGCTTGAAGCCCATGTCGGGCGTCCCCCGCCATATATTGCTGGAATTATTTCTAAAAGCTGCGTCACACCACAATCACACACATAACACCATGTAGAAAAGTAAATCTCCCATTCACTGTTCCTGTGTAGATGCATGCGTGTACCAGGGTCAAAGATACACACAAGGACAGACATGGGCCATTGGCTGCGACCAACGATGTGTCTGTGAAAACGCTATCTATGGCTACTACCGATGCTCCAATACGTAAGTGTACCAGCCCTCCGCTTTCCCACCCCCACCACACAAACGAAAGAAGACTCCCCCTCCAATAATAAGATTTAAAATGAAATAATAGATAAAATATAATTAGATTTAATAATAATTTTAAAATATACCTTTAAAAAAAACCGACACACAAAAACAACACAACATTCCCTTGGTTTAAGAGCATCATACATGGAACATCTTTAACGATGGGCAACGGACAAGCTGAAAGTGGATTTAATCTTCATTAATCCATCTCCGTTAACTCATCCGCTGATACTGAGGTCCAGTCAAAATCTGTTTAGTGATGTGCTCCGATGACCTCAGTATGAGTCCGCTTACTGGTCACCTTACTAACAATCAAAAGCAACTAGCTAACTTGATGATCAAGTTGACATATTATATTATGAACGTTAATTTCGTACACCTTTCATGAACAATTGTGGAGAACGATCTAGATACCGTTCAACCTCGAAAAAATCAGCTCATTATTATTGCTTCTGTTCACCTAGCAGAAAAATGGGTACCCCGTGGGATAGGACTATTAACCTTCTAACGCCTAACAGCTTGGTTTATCGGTGGTAATATTGTCCATCATGTTGTAGCGTTCTCTCGTCATGCCGAAGGCCCGTGTTCGATTCCCCACATGCGTACAATTTGTGAAGCCCATTTATGGTGTCCCCCCGCTGTGATATTGCTGGAATATTGCTAAAAACGGCAGAAAACCATACTCAGTCAGTCAGTCAGTCCATCATGTTGTATGTGCTTAGTTTGTCCCTGCGTTATGGAGTTCAGCGCTATATAAGTGGCCATATTATTATTATTATTTATTATTATTGTTGTTGTTGTCTACATCATGAGTACCGCTCTACACAGGTGTCCAACCTACGACAACCTCCCCACTCAGTGCCACACTCAAAAGAAGGTCAGCGACTGCTGTGAAACAGTCAGATGTTCATCTGGGTCTTTCTACTCCTCATCTACCAACCTTCAGACTACTGGCAGCGGAGGAGGCATCAACATCAACGGTGTGACCCCCAACCCATCTACAGGGTCAGGACAGGGAGGCAGTTCCCTCGGCACGGGCATGCAGCCCCCTCAACTATGTACGAGGAGTAATTTTTCTATGCTTCACAAGTTACCTTTGAGTGACGAACATCTATTAACTATTTGGACTTCAACTTCAACTATATATTAAAAAACAGCACACAAACCTGGTTTCAGGATGTCTGTTTGCGGTAGCAAGTAACCCTTCGAAAGGACGGTTTAGAATCGAAATACCGGTACAATGAGATATTTTAACCCGATTCCGTTACACACTCACTCACTCACGTACTGTGTAAATGCATCGTGGTTGAGAACACTGTGTAAAAGCTATGTAATTTCCAGGAACAACCAGGAACAAGCACAAATTATTATCTATCAAATGCGCGATTTCGATTCGATCTATTTAAATAGATATTTTCTAGCTTCAAATCGTTCAACAAAGAAAACGCGGTAAAATTTGTATTTCACTCCACGAAAATGTGTATTTTTCAAATATTGAATACACGTGACAAATGGCCTGAGCTGTTTGACCTATTCCCTGTCCACAGCCGGATGTCTTTACAATGGTCAGCTGTATGTTCAAGACCAGCAATGGGAAGATAAATGCTCCACCGTCTGCACCTGCAACGACGCTTCAACAGGAATATACGCATGCAGAGAAAGGTACAATGTTACACGTCACGCATAAGACCCCTACTTATCATTTTCATTTTTATAACCTACGAGGGCGAAAATATCAGTCTGTCAAGGGGACGTGACGTCATGAAAATGATATGACGTCATATTTTCTTCTATGACGTTGCGTTCTACATGCGGCGACGGCGGGTAGCCAGCCTGTGTTTGAAAGTAGATGTTGGTTTATTTCCCTCAATTTTCTCGCTCGGGAAATACCAACGTTTAGGCAACTTTTAGGTAAACATAGTATGACATGGGCACTCATATAATATCCTGTATATATTCATTAGATGCTACCTACGGTAGATGTGTGACTATGTTAACAATGTGATTGGTGGGGAGACCTGGTGTTCACAATATAGCAATGTCTCGCCCCTCGTCTAATACTGCGGAATCAGTTGAACTGAGAGAAAAATGTATCTTAGCAAATTGTAAACATGCTGACGATGCATTGTGTGTATATGTCGTGTGTCCTATCTGTTAACATGATAGGTTGAATCGTTTTATTCTGGTAATTGCAGGATTTTGTTGTTTGTTTTTCTTTTTTGGGGTCGTTTTTTTGTTGTGTTTTTTTTGTGTGTGTTTTGTTGTGTTTTTTTTGGGGTTGGGGAGCGAAAAATACAAACATTCTCATAAAGGCAACAAGTAGTAACCTTAATTGTTTGTTCCAGATGTCCCCGGTTCGACGGAGTTCCTGCAGGCTGCCAGATGATCACTGACCCCAGCGACAAGTGCTGCAAGGTGCCCCAGTGCCCCCCGTCCATTACTTATGTTGCCAAACCCGTGTACCAACCTTGGAAACAAACCACCTCCCTGGTCAAGCCTCCAAGCATCACTGACCTTACATCCGGGTTCTTTACAAATGTAGTAACGATCAACTTCAGCGGCGGGACGGTAGCACCACCAACCCTTCCTACCGGAACCGTGCAGTCCGGAGGCATAGGTACACCGATCCATCAGCTACATCCATTCCGGTTTATACATTAATACATTAACTTCTTTGAGTGGCATTTTAGAAGTTGGGAAGTACAATATAGAACAAACTTTATGGATAACAACTTCTTTTATTCGTTAGTGCGACGTTTCGATAGAGATTCTTGTACTATTTTGTATGCTTGACAACGGTACAACAATCTGTATCGAAAAGTCGTACTCACGAATAAAAGAAGTTGTTATCCATAAAGTTTATTCTATATTGTACATTAACACAATATTCACCTAACTTATGATGTGGGGAGGTCTGGTGGTTGAAGCGTTCGCTGTTCACCCCAGCGTCCCAGGTATTGATACAATGTGTAAATTGATTGTTGGTGTCCCTCGCCGTGATATTCGAAATCACACCCTGCAAACCTTCCTCAAATTGAGTATTTGACTCAAGAACATTTGTAACACATTAGTAGCTACTCCTTTTTCTCCTTTTTCAGAGTAATTTGGTCGGAGCTATACCTCACCTCAAAGTTCTAATATCCGTATGTCAACGAACAATAGTCCCCTAATAAAAATAATTTTTTTTTAGCAATCTTTATTACCATGCGATGTCAGTCCAAAGAACACTTACTTGAAAATCAACATTTGATCGAATTATAACTCTTGTCTATGACACTTACTTGGCACTTGCCTTAATTCGTTTGACCCGTGAAGATCCAGGTTAGAATTGGTCTTCAGCAACCCATGATTGTCGTAAGAGGCGACGAACAGGATCGGGTGGCCAGGTTCGCTGACTTGGTTGACACATGTCATCGGTTCCCAGTTGCATATACCATGCTCATGCTGTTGATCACTGGATTGTCTGGTCCAGACTCGATTATTTACAGACTGTCGTCATGTAGCTGAATGCGGCGTTAAACAACATACATGAAAAACACCACTTTTCTATGACATGTACGTGCACGTATGCAGGTTTGGGCTGATGGCCTACACGAACAGAATAAAGAATTGAATTGTAACGAATAGTCGCATTGATCAGATAAAGAATCGCAGCGCAAATCAGTCATGTCACACCGAAGACCCGGGTTCGATTCCACACATGGGTGCAATGTGTGAAGCCCATTTCTGGTGTCCCCCGTCGTGATATTGCTGGAATATTGCTTAAAGCGTCGTATAACGATATTCATTCACTCACTCTTCCATGCAGGTTACTGTGAGTATAAGGGCCGCCACTACCTTCAAAACGAGAGATGGGAGGATGGATGCAAGTATAACTGTATCTGTGAGCGGGCAAATGATGGATTCTGGAGATGCTTAGACAGGTACACAGCTTTATCATATAATGCATCGTTTTATCAATGCAGTAAACCAATTCGAAAATTTTGCTACAACGATCCGATAAATATGCAAATGAGGTGACTCAAATGAACTGTTTTTATGATCAATATGTTGATTTGCTATTCTATATTTATTTTGGTACGATAATCCGTTTATACTCTAGACCGGTCAGTACAGGTGTTCTAATAGTCTCACAACTGTCTTTTTTTTCACGAATAATTCAAGTTGATAATAATTAGTTTATAATAAGTTTAAGTTTATTATACTTTCAGGTGTAAAACCTACCCGACTTTACCAAAAGATATCTGCTGGCTAATTCCTGACCCCAGCGATGCATGTTGTCAGATACCATTTTGTAAATTTTATCCTAAATTCCCTGCGATATACGGTACCGGACACCCAGGGACATTCACGACCCCCCCATATCACCCTAAAGCCTGCTGTAGTCCAGAACACCACCCCCCAGGCCAGGTGAGGAACTGTAGATGCAGTTCAGATTTAGAGGGTAAACAAAGTCAGAACCTGTTGGATGATGAGTAGGAGGAAACTTATGAATATCTCACTCCAAATATCTTCAACCGTCATATTTCACTCACTACTCCTATAACCTACTTATAATGTAAATATCTGCAGTGAATAACATTCCACTCATAGGTCCTAAGAATTTGTTTGTACTATTTTACCATTTGTCCTTTGTACATGTAAATGACTTCTTCCCGAGAACATCTTTTCAACTTAGACATTTTAATGTAAAAACTGTATTTGTCGCCCCTTGTAGTGCTCCATTCTTGTTGTGTGTCTCAGATTCCATGTCCAAAAGGACCTCTCGTATGATAGTAATACTATTGCTTATGTTAAGTTTCTAACACCCGGTGTTTTTTCCCGTCCAGCGTTCTGCGTGTACAAGGGCCAGAATTATGCTCAGGGCCAACAGTGGTACGACGGCTGCAGCATGAAGTGTTCCTGCGATAACGCTGAGTCAGGATATTACAGGTGTTCAAACAGGTGAGACGAGCTGGCCATACGTTAAAGTCATGTACAATGCACGCTAGAAAACCACGCCTTTTCCTGGGAAGGTCTACATACATACATTGCCCTGTAACCTTGATTCTTTATTCCAGACATTTATCAGACTTGAGACTTGGGGTAGATAATCGAGTGGTTAAAGCATTAGGTCGTCACGCTGAAAACCCGGGTTCGATTCCCAACATGGGTACAATGTGTGAAGCCCATCCCTGGTGTCCCTTGCCACGATATAGCAGGAATACAGCTGAGGGTGGCGTAAAACATCACTCACTGATTATAAGACTGACAATTTCCTTTGATTCAAGTCTTTTGGATTAAAGAGACTTCACTGTGTAACAACAATAATGAATTGTGGTAGACCGACCATTAAATATTCTGCGTGTCAAACCCGTGAAGATCCGGGCTAGAATCGGTCTTCAGCAACCCATGCTTGTCGTTAGAGGCGACTAACGGATTCGGGTAGTCAGGCTCGCTGACTTGGTTGACATCTGTCATCGTATCCCAACCCCACTGGATTGTCTGGTCCAGACTTGATTATTGACAGACCACCGCCATATAGTTGGAATATTGCTGAATGCCCGTGTAAATGTACACTCACTCACTTCTGCGTGTCATTGCCTCCAGAAATACGCCCAACAATAGTTGCGCGAAACAGGCCATCCAGCGAACATGTATGCTTTTAATGACAGCGTAACTATGGATCGTGCATGATGAAAATAGTGCGTGAGTGAGTTTAGTTTTACGCCGCACTCAGCAATATTCCAGCTATATGGCGGCGGCCCGAAAATAATCCAGTGTGGACCAGACAATCCAGTGATCAACAGCCTGATCACCCGATCTCGTTGGTCGCCTCTTACGACAAGCATGGGTTACTGAAGGTTCATTCTAACCCGGACCCTCACGGTTGCATGATGAAAACCTATATGTCACAATCTACAATCACCAATCAGTAAAAAGCATAGCGACAGTCACTCACCAGGTGTATTGTCTTCCAGATGTCCCTTGTACTACAACGTACCCAAGGGATGTACCGAGCTGCCCGACCCCATGGATCCAACCTGCTGTACCGTGCCGCACTGTGACTTCAAACCCACCTCGGGATCCATCTCAGGAACTGGCTCCCAGGCCACCATACCCCCGGGGCAAATTACCGGCACTGGACAGAATCCTGGAGAAAACCAAAAAATAGGTAAATGCGTAGCATCAGCGACAAAGAATCCTTTGGCTGATAAAGGTAATATAGTGGTCACAATTACATGACAAGAGGATTTCCCTTTCTCGAACACCTGGTGTCACTGATGATCTTAAGTTATCCATTTTTGTGACCACTATTTAACCTTTATAATACGTTGCAATACGTTTGTCCCTTGGTGCGCCAGGGACAAATGCATGTAAAATATGTAAAAACAAAACCACTGCTTACTTCATATTGCCTTATATGATGTCAGGTTATATTATCGTATACACCCTTAAAGATCGTAGCTCTACGACTGTCGTAAGTCTATGTTAAAGTATGGGAGTTACGATCACCTTAGCGCTACGATCGCTTTGTGGAACGGGTGTCCGGTTAGGATATTCAGCAACCCATGGTTGTCGCAAGAGGAAACTAACGGGATCTAATGATCAGACTAACCGACTTCGTTGATACATGTCATTGTAACCCAGTTACGTAGATCGATGTTCATGACGCCAGTCACTGGATTGTCTGATCCAGACTCGATTCTTTACAAACAGCTGTCATATACCTATATTATTGTTGAGTGCGTTAACATCCAACCAGACAGATGGGAAATAATCGTACCCTTTTGCATCTACGTCAAAACACGATTATTTATGATTTTAAAGTTACAAGCCCACTTTGAAATTCTGAAATTGAAATCAATCTGTCAGATGCCTAAACGACACGTTTTCTAACTGCTCAGAGATAACAGTTATTTGAAAACTCTACTGATTCTCTCTATCAAAAAAAGAAAACAAGTACCAACATGACAATTTGTTACCAAATGCATATTGTATTTACAGGGTACTGTCTGTACAAGAAGGTGAAATACAACCAGGGCCAGAAATGGACAGATGGATGCCAGTACAATTGTGAGTGTGAAGATGCAGACAAAGGCACCTACAGATGCACAGCCATGTACGTACCACTCAAATACCGCTCGTTATGTGAGTCGTAGGTTGGGTTAGGCTTGTGGATAAAGCGTTCGCCATTCGTGCTGAGTCCAGGTTCCATTCCAACAAATTTGGAATTGATTAGTGAGTGGGTTTAGTTTTAGGCTGTTTTTAGCAATATTCAAGCAATTTCGCGAAAAAGTCTTCACACATTGTATCCAATCGAAACCGGATCTTCTGCATGGCGAGAGAACGCTTAACAACTAGGGTACCCTTCCGCCCCTTTTAGGCATGGCTTTGGTAGACTCGTTGGTAGTTCTTGTAGTCGTGGTGAATTCTCAGTAATGATCCAAGATTACCGCCCATCAGCTGGTTCCAAGTTGTACCAGTTAGTTACAACATTCTTTGTGTAACCCACTGGATTGTCTGGTCCGGACTCGATTATTTACAGACCGCCGCCATATAGCATGGATATTGCTGAGTAAAACTAAAATCACTCACTCACTCACTCACTCTTTGTGTTACCTTACCTTATGAAATGAACTGTTGAAACATTTAACACGCTGAAACGAATTTTATAATTGCCTGTCATTTTGTTCTTTCCGTTATGTGTATTGTACATTATTTGTATACTGTAAATTATTTACAAATGTATGTTTGTATATGTGGGCCGGTGGCCTTAAATACAACAAACTCTTTTGATCTTGAACCTTACCTGATGCTTAGAATTTGAAAGTTTTCTGAATATTTTTGAAGCAATGTTGTAAATCTGAATTTATGAACGATGTTGGGGTTTAATTTTGACTAAGCAGTGAACATTTTAGCTAGTTCCGGGACCAAAATCACTGCCAATACAATGCGAACGTTTGGGAATTATGTTGGGAGTATTTCGTTATGACGCCTTAGATGCTTCAGTTAATGGAAGATCGAAGACATGAATTTTCAGTTACTTTCACAAACCTCTTTGTCCAACACAGGTGCCCTCGTTATGCCAGCCTACCCCAGCAGTGCCGGCTTGTGACCGACTTTGCAAACCCCTGCTGCCAGCTACCGGAATGTGACTTTCAGGGAACCTCTGGAGGCCTCACCGGCGCTGGACACGTCACCCCCTCACCGGGACCACAACGTAAGTATGCATGTTAATACTATGTGCGTCAGTGCTGGGGGTTTTCTCGGGATTTTCATAACTCGTATTATCTAGTCGAGTTTAATAATAACTGACCTCTGTAACATTTACCTGCTCCAGTTATCTGGTTCCACGGAGTAACGCGTGTGAAACGTGTTCTTTAACAGAAGGTTGCTAAAGTCAACCCCAAAACCATCACATTTTGTTTTGTGGCATCGGTTGTAGTGTTGCCCCTCTGTTTCAGCCACATGTACCTACAATACCGCTAAGTACTACCAGGGTCAGACATGGAAAGACGGCTGCAGCAAGTCCTGTCGTTGTGAAGACGCCGTAAAGGGACTCTACGTCTGTGACGACAGGTAACTTCCCCAGTGTCTCTTACTCCATTGCTGAAACCATTACGTGACGATGGTGTAGCTTTGTGATTAAAGCGTCGCTCGTTACACAAAAGTCCAAGGTTCGATTCCCTACTTGGGTCTATTTGTTGGTGTGTCCCGACGTGATGTTGCTGGAATATTACCAAAAACTGCCTCAAGTCACACACAATAACCACTGGCTTGCTAACACCATCTATTACCAAGGCGTCACTATGGATCATAGTCAAACCATCTGTTCACTTACATATCTGTAGTGAATCTGAAATACTCATTGTCCTATAAACCATGACAATAATGTCCATGAGTCTAACGGAATCATGGACGAAAGTAAACCAAGTGGTTCGTTCGTCATGCCGGAGACCTTGTTCCGAACCCCACGTACAATATGTGATTGACATTTCTGGGTACTTGTTGATGGGTAATAAACAGCGGGGTAAAACATCCTCGAAAAAGGGTAAAACATGTAATTCGGTAATACATGTATTTTTTTTCAAGATGTCCGACGTTCGGTTCGATGCCACCCCAGTGTCAAATGGTCACTGACCCCGCCGACCCCTGCTGCCAGAAGCCACAGTGCCGCTTTGTACCAACGTCAGGTTCAACTACCGGTAGTGGGACACCGAACAAGATCCCCACTCTAGCTCCTGCTATTATCACCGGCCAGGTTCCCACCCCCAAACCTGGGCAGACCCCCACACCCGTCAGTGAGTAACCCACACATCACTTGATATACACCATACATACAATACTATTGCAGAGGTCATTATGCGAGGACAGGGACCCTAGGGCGAATCAAAGAGTCGATATTTTTGCCTTATGACAATTCAAGATTAATCAGTTGTATTTTTATAGTGTTAAAATTGTTCATTTGAAATAATATCCAGTATCTGCTTTGTAGCTTCATAAAATGTGATCACAAAAATCATTTTTCAGCTGTGTGTACATACAAAGGTCAACAGTATCACAAAGGTCAGACCTGGCAAGATGGCTGTAGCTATAACTGTGAATGTCTAGATGATCAGACGGGAAAGTACAAGTGCACTGAGAGGTTAGTATCAGGGATGCATTTATGCCCAGGTCATGTTTGGAAGCCTTCGGAAATCTTATGCCATAAATTTTATATGGGACGTTTTCGTAGCCTCTCAATTAAGGCGCTCGCGCATCACCTCGAAAACTCTTGTACGAATCACCCACATTGGAACAATGTGTGGTGTGTGTGTTGGCGGATTCTGGCCAAAAGCGCCGTAAAACCACACTCACTCACTCTCTCACTAATAATCCTGTTTAAAAGGACAATCAAAGAACCATGCCCATTGGTACTGTTGCACACATAGTTTTGCATTGTCCATTCAACATGGCCTCAGCTGTCTTGAGATGACGGGGTAGCCTGGTGATTGAAACGTTCGCTCGTAGCACCGAAGACGCGGGTTCGATTCCCCACATAAGTACAAAATGCGTACCTCATTTCTGGTGTCCCCATCGTGATATTGCTGAAATATTGCTGAAAGCAATCACTGAAATAGTATGAAGCAACTCATTCGTTGCACCTCTCACGAGATCTGGTATATCCTTCAAATGACCATGTTAGATACTACGCTGGTACGTCGCTACGAATATAATGTGGAAGTTCATAATTCGTATTAACTGAGCGAGTTTAATCATTACTGAAATTGTCCTGCTGCTCATATCTGGTTCCACGGAGTAACGCATGTGCAACGTATTCTTTAACATACGTTTGCTAAAGTGATATTGCTGGAATATTGCTAACAGCGGCGTGAAACTTCACTCAATCAATTGATAACTAGAAGTTATCCTGATGAGAAAACATCACGCCTACATGCAAAACCTACCTGTCTCATGGTATTCCAGATGTCCGCGATTCGCTGGGCTGCCTCCCCAGTGTAACTTGATGAAGAACCCAAGTGACCCTTGCTGCCAGGTGCCTGTATGTGACTTCAGCACCAACAACGGTGGCTTGACTGGACAAGGTCAGCTCACACCGGCGCCAGATGTCACGCCCAAACCTAAAGGTCAGTTTTCAATGGATCGATTAACCAGAAAATCCTGTTCATGTTTAATTTCGACTACTGTGCAGAAGTTCTGACATTCCTTTGCTTACAAGTAAAGAAAACACTTTTTCTGGAAAGATAGAAAGGGAAAAGAAAAACTTTGGAAACAGTCAATACCTTATGTTGTTAAAACGTAAAGTGACAGTTTGGTACTGATGACAATGTCTGCTGGCTGTAGGTATGTGTGTCTACAAGGGTACAAGCTACGCTACCGGTCAGCAGTGGTTCGATGGCTGTGATTACACCTGTGATTGCGAGAACGGTGACCAGGGCATATACCGTTGCAACAAGAGGTGAGGCGAATAATACACATATACAATAACTATTGTGAAATTTATATGTGTAATATTACTTTACAAACTCAAACCGAGAACTTTATACGATACTATTAAATCAACATACATGCTTTATCCATCTTACTGAATGCTTGTCTAATACTTTGAGAAGAGTCAAACGATCGTCACGCCGAAGAATCGGGTTTGATTCCCTACTTCGGTTCAATGTGTGAAGTCCATTTTTGGGTGTCCCCCGTCGTGTTAATGCTAAAATCGGCGAAAACCCAACTCACTCACTCACATCTTACCATATGTTTTATTTGAGAATACACTTTCTCAATAAAGTGGATTCTAGTACTTTCTAAGGTTCAGTGCCACCCGGGATTCGAACCCACACACTCAGAGTTAGTCATCTTATCGCCAAAACACAAAGTCCGCGATCTAACCCACTCAGCCGTCGCAGCCTCCACAACCAATTAGGTGCCTGACTCGGAGTGGGTTCGAATGCCGGATGGCACTCCACCCTAAATACTTAAAAAACTGTACGTTACTGAGAATGTATTGCAGTATGTTACATTTTCTGACCAATTTCTAAATGGTATAGTGTATTCAAATAGCTGAACTGAAACAACCTCATGACAACCTTTCCCTCTCGATCATATAAAGTATTTGTTTAAACATTTGACCTGCATCACGTATCGCCATGTTTGCCTCTACACAGATGCGCTATGTACGACAACCTGCCCAAGGAATGCCATCTGGAGGCCGACCCCCAGGATCCATTCTGCTGCAAGCGCCCAGCCTGCTCCTTCATCCCAACCAGCGGCTCTCAAACAGGCAACGCCCTCCCATCCATCCCTCCGGGCACAATTACAGGAGGCAGCGTCGTCCCCACCCCTAACCCAAACCTGTCCCCATCCCTCGGACCTGGAGTATCACCCACACCAGGCCCTGGCATGGTGCCTCTACCCAAAGGTAAAGACTTGCCACGTTCTTATACATATCCCATAACGGATACATTTAGAATCTGTGCAGGTCCCCACATATTATTTGACTTTGTAAGATTATCTAAACTGGGTGCGTGTGATTGAGGGACAGAAGCAATGAGGGAAGTGTGATGGTTCCATAACGGAAACAACTGCCTCCTTGGTTCAGTGAACTTCAGCTACCGATGTTCAGCTCTTCAGCAAGACGTTATATCATTCAGAACAATATAAGGTCTTGCTGAAGAGCTGAAGGTCGGTGGTTCGTTCCTATGGCCTATGTATACCTAAGAGGTTTAAAAGTGATATTTGTTGTCGCCTTGCTTCGTGCTCTACATTGAGGGGATAGACAACCTATTACCCGCTCTTGGCCGGTATACAGCGCCTTATCGGGGTATTCATGTTAAACAGCAGCATGTAGCTCTGGTTGTATAACACTATTGAACTAGCATGAGTTGAGACTACTACAAGCAGCACACACCTCGCCCTCTCCATTACACGCACGCACATACACACTTACACTTGCCTCTCAGTGAGTGACGACAACCACTGATGTTTTAGCATGGTAGGTATAAGGTGTGACAAAAGGCCAAACACATGTTCCCTCCTTCTTCAGATGTGTGTGTGTACAAGGGCAAACAGTACGCCCAGGGAGCAAAGTGGCAAGATGGCTGTCTCTACAACTGTGAATGTCTGGATGCCCACGCCGGCAAATACAAGTGTACTGAACAGTAAGTAAAATCACACCATTTTTGCCACCAATTCCTGAGTCTGCTGTACTTCATATCTGATTCCCTCCCGCTGTTACTATGAGTGACCAGTGAGCAAGGGAATAGTTGAATGTTTACTTGTTGTTTAATGTTGCACTCAGCAATATTCCCGCTATGTGGCATTGGTCCGCAATTAATCGAGTCTGGACCTGATAATCCAGTGATCAGCAACATGAGCAACTATCCACGCAGTTGGGATATGATGACATGTGACAAGTCATCCTATCATCCCATATTTCAGTACGTGTGGGCAACATCTGTAAACACATATTGCAACGTACACACCATAGTGTATACACGCATGTATAACAACAGGTGACAGGGCGTGATTTACGTCGTGTTAACTGTCAGATTTATTGTGATACCAATGATACGAGATGTTTCTATGCTTGCATAATGCAATATAGTTGCCGTTAGTAATGATATTTGGACTTTTAAATGATATCCGCATGATATCTGTATGTTTAGGTATGTATAATGTTTTGATTCGATGTCTTGGGTCAATATTGGGCGCGGTAGGGTAGTCTAGTAGTTAAAGCGTTCGCTCGTCACGCCGAAGACCCCGGGTTCGCTGATCCACATGGGTACAATGTGTGAAGCCAAATTCGAGTGTCCCTGGTCGTGAAACTGCTGGAATATTGCTAAATCGGTGTAAAACTTAACTCACTCATTCACTCATGTCTGCATAGTCTGATCATATTAGCCAAAAATGGTATTCATTTTTGGTGTCATCAGAATTACATACCAGGCATACCAGATGTTCATACGGTGTTTTTACAGGTGTCCCAAGTTCGCCCAGATCCCGCCCCAGTGCCGCCTAGTCAGAGACATATACAACCCTTGCTGCCAGACCCCAGTCTGTAACTTCTCACCTACTTCCGGTCAGGCCACAGGAAGTGGTGTCCCACCGACGCCACCAGCCCAGAAAGGTAAGGAAAATAATATATTTCCGGAATTTAGCCATTTCCTTCAGCTTAAAAGTGTTAGAAGGAACAAAACAAACAATAAATAGTTTCAAGTTTCAGGCTGCATATTTTTCAAATTTAAAATGCTGTATATAGTTAAAAATATCTGGCATTTGAGATGATCTACATCCTTTATCATGAAGGTACATGGACACTGGGCTGAGTGTTTTCGTTTCTCGAAATGAATAGAAAATAGATCCTTGACGCTCTTTATTGTGTTACGTTTCCGCAGATTTCTGTGTGTACAATGGCGCCAACTTCAAGCAGGGTGCCACCTGGAATGACGGATGTGATCTCGTGTGCACGTGCGAGGATGCCAAGACTGGCGTGTACAGATGTGACGAGAGGTGGGTTATAGATAGTATCCTGCAACACCCTGAGGTCATCATAGGTGAACCAATCGTACACAGCAGTTCGTTCTGCAGAGTTGCCTCCCTTGGGCGTATCAGAAACCTATGATTGTGGGTTACAATTCCTCTTGGTCCTCATTATGTTTGTAGGTTTGATATCACCGTGATCATGTGCTTTATCAACGTGCTGGTCCTGAATCACTCACTCTCACTCCTTTCACAGCAAGCTAAGAGCCTTAATATAACCGAAATTGTAATCAAACTGGCTCAAACCAAAGTCACTCACTTTACACCTCATATTGGATATTTGAAATTATTTGACTGTTACCTCCTTATCAAAGTTGTACATACATTATTATTCGGCAAACATGCTTTAAAACAATACTACACTATGCCTATATTGTTAGTATTAATATCACCGATATTTTCTGTTCACTGGGTACTTCCTTCAACAGGACACTAAAGAGATTAACCATGTAACTTGTAACCTCTTTAAACACACTCAGAGCGACAATGTCTCCCAGCTGCTGTCTATAACGATATATATCATCTATATTTTGAACTTAAGAGACCACAGGCCTATAGTACATGTATACTGACTATATTATTTTTAGGCAGTAGAGAGTACATTTCTTCTATGTAGAAAGCCATGATACATAAACATTGACAATTTTTCTAGATGTTCCTTGCTAGAATAGGTTTATGGAGATATAAATTTATAGATATTATGATCTACAAAGTAATATTTCTTAATATACTTATTTTTCAAAGTGTGATAGGCTGGACAGACACAAAGAAAATAATATTCATCTTCAGTTAGATTCAAATCACACATTTTACGTATTCTATCTTCTTTTTATTCCAATATAGCTACCTGTTTCTTTTAACAAATCATGAAATGAGCAACGAAATTTTGCAAGCGTGATTCTATATTCCGAACATTCAAAGATGATAAGTAGGTTTCATTGTATATAGATTGCTTAAACATTCTGTAATAAAAACATTTAATGACATAATCCAATTCTGGAGATATTTATCTTGTAACCTTTGTTTAATGGACATGAGAAAATTTGGATGCGAGTCTATGCACTGTTCTAGCCATATATTACCGAAACCAGTAGAAAATATAAGTTTTTTGTGACCCAATTATGTTTTCCATTTCTCTCGTGCAAAATCATCATATTGTAACATTTTTAGGTAATCTGTAAGATGGCATATGTAAGATTTTTAACCAATATTTTACTACTTACATTTTTGATTATAAAAAATGGAAATCTACCACATTCACTATCAACCATTATGTTTGAAGTAGTAACTTTCACACTGAGAAATCACCCAGCTGCTGTCAACAAGAACGCTTAACGAGTTTCAGTCCGACTCGGAAAGAGTGAAGTGCAGTTACCACATACATGCAGTATACATAATTGTATTACAGGTGCGCTAACTACAAGGCACAATCAGGGTGCTCTATGGTTGCTGACCCCAAGGATAAGTGCTGCAAGATACCCTTCTGTCAGCCGGTCTTGCTCCCTAGCCCTCAGCCAGGAGTCAACCCGGGTCAGAATCCGACCCCCTTCCCCTACCCTGTACCCACAGGCGTTCCAGGGACGATCCATGGACAGACGGTCAACAAACCCAACACCAACAACCCAACCAATGCATGTAAGTTGTGGACGTATAACATGTTGACGTGTAATGCATGAAACATATGGAAATGATGACATCAGGTACAGAGCAAGTGGGCTACCACACCATGGGCATTAAGGGTAGGTATTGCCGAAAATTTCATATTGCGATATATTGCGATGCGAAAGCATATATTGCGATGTGTATTGCAATATATTGCAAGAAATTTTAAAACAAAAAACTACTTATGATCGAGTTAAAACACAACAATATCACTATGCTTGATTAAGCTTTAATAAAAACTTGTAATCATGAGGAAACAAGGAAAAGGAACAATTTAACATCAACACAGTGGGTACCAGTTTGAACTAGTTTCTCCACTCTCAAAAAAAGCCCTGAGATTTAAAACATTCAGATCCAAAACATTGCGAAACATTTGAACAAACATTAAGAACATAACTTCAAACCCGGTAAATACTGGTAGACCGGTTATATTGCGCAGCCCTAATGGGCACAGTATTGTAGTTGTACACGTGGGAGAAAATCCCGAAATGATGCACATATTAAACGCTTACCCATCGTAACCCCCGGCATTATGTTGTGTTTCCAGCGTTCTGTACTTACAACAACATCAACTACAAGACTGGTCAGAAGTGGGAGGACGGATGCCAGTACTCTTGTGTATGTGATGATGAGAAGACTGGCAAATATACCTGCCTCCAGAAGTATGTCACCTCATGATAACTGTAACTGTTGTGAAAGACTGTATCTCGAATTTTAAATCCAAGGGAAAATAGCAAGGCCAAGAGTACATCAATCCACAAGTCGTTTTTTTTTCCGTCTCTATCTACATGTAAAACGCTTGGTGCATATATATTTGTATTACTTTTATTTCATTTATCGAAGGATAACAGTCACAAATTGTATAAATATTTTTATTACATGCACTAATAACTTAAATTTGTCAGAAGATGGTCATAATACATGCACGAAATGTGTCAAATCTCGAATGTACTGATTGGGGTTTCTATTATTCTATTCTATTTATAAACTTATTCTTGGTCACCGGGAAACACTCTCTGAAAAGTAGTGTCGTCCGTGTCGAATGTCTGCAGTTATTGAAAAATACCTGAGCTAATCAGAATAGCTGAAAATAGGATAACACACACATATCTTGTAATAACACATACCATGCCAAATATCTGACATCTTCCATCCTAGGTGTACCCCGTACTCCAACATACCCGCCTACTGTACACTGGTGGTCGACCCGCAGGAACCCTGCTGCAAGAAGCCGAGTTGCCAGAACCCACTGTCGCTCCAGACAACAGCCGCACCCGTCCCCGGAGTCAGCCCCACCCCAAACACCAACAACATCAACACTCCTCTTCCCCAGCGTGAGTATCAACACAAACATCAGTGCAGCATGAACTGTTGCAACGTTACGACGTAGAGTGAGCGTGACCACTGATCTGCCTGTTGCAATGGCAAGATGACTATCCTTTTAGTGACAGTAACAATCGCTAGTTGGCATTACACCGTATATATATTTATAACCAACGCCTCTAGCAATACAGATTTAAAATACAACAACTTTAACCATAATGCAATATCGAGCTTGCAAATAGAGACTAATCGTCAGTTCTTGTCCATAGGCGGTTCCAGAAAGATGGGGGAGGGCTTTTGTCCTGAAAAGTGTAATAATTGAGCATTGTTTGCCAAAGTAGTTTGTGGCAACGCACCATTAAACTATCGGTATGACCAAGGAATATTGCTTTTACCTTATATTCCCACGCCTTCATGATATATTCCAGTTCAGAATCACAGACGGTGTTCTAACCTTGATTAATACAATGTGTTCCTCTTTCACAACAGCAACTTGTGTATACAAGAATCAGCGTTATAACGAGGGCCAGGAGTGGTATGACGGGTGCGACAAGAAATGTGTGTGTGAAGACGGGAAGAATAACTACTACAGATGCAGCTCCAGGTAAGGCCATGGTTCACGGTCAAAATCAGGGTCACGGTCAAGTTCACGGTCAGGCCCTGGAATATCCCCATGATGTATTATGTGAGGGCTATACATTTTACTCATTAGAGTTGAGTGATCGAACTGTGTTGTGTCCTGGATACCACCAAGAATAGTGAAATCAGTGTGTCTCAATATGTTTCCGGCAATATTATACTCAACAATCTGAAATTTTACAACCCGTCTCCAATCTTTATCAGACCTTGATTATACCCTGCCCCTCCACTTTCTTAAATGACAGGAAGTTTAGTTTTACGCCGCTTTTAGCAATATTCCAGCAATATCTCGGCGAGGTACACCAGAAATCGGCTTCACACATTGTACCCATGTGGGTAATAGAACCCGGGTCTTCGGCGTGACGAGCGAACGCTTTAACCACTAGGCTACCCCACCGCCCCCTAAATGACAGGAAGTTTTGGTACAGCCCAAATACAAGAATCTCACATTGCGCTCCAAGTAGTGTGGCCTTGTTGTCTGCTCACCACGCCGAAGACTCAGCTTCGATACCTCACGTTTCCAACGTGAAAGATAATTTCGCCATCGTGATACTGGTGGAATATGGATCACAGCGACCTACAATCCTAACTCACTTACTGCCTATCACACTGCCTATCGCAGCGACCTACAATCATAACTAACTTTTCATTTTGACGCCCAGGTGTGCTAGTTATGGAAATATCCCACCACAGTGCCGTTTGGTAGCTGACCCCAAGGACCCACAGTGTTGTCAGGTTCCACAGTGTACCCCTACCCCCGGGCCTAATGGCTACCCTACCCCCGGGCCTGGCGTATCCCCGACACCATTCAACATCCCCACCGGCGTCGTCACGGGAGTCGCTCCCACACCAACACCAGGACCCGGCGGACAGACCCCACCTCCACGACGTAAGATTTTAAATGCCAATGGAAGTCAAAGTGGACTTCATTTCAGTGTAGCTGACACACTTGTATAAATTCCGTGTGCGATATGATGACATTGTGATGAACTCATTCACTCGCCCACTCTTAAAATAAGAAATTTGGTCATGTTCTTTCATGCCAATAATTTGAAAAAAATGTAAATAACCGGCTGTAGCCATGTTGCAAACTGTTAAAACCCAACGGGCTACACTTCGCGAATAAATGATAATGATAATGATGATGATGATGAAGATGATGATGACGACTATGAAGATGTTTATTCTCCATAAGTCTCCTACCACATATCTGTAAAGATCCCCTCGACCATACCTACAACGTATGATAGTGCTTGAATATGCCCACCTCTGCTGCAGACTCCTGTGTATACAAGGGGAGAGAATACCGCCAGGGGGAGAGATGGCAAGATGGCTGCAAGTACAACTGTGTTTGTGAGGACGAAACCACAGGCAAATACAAGTGTGGCGAGAGGTGAGACAGAATCCATGTGTTCATTTTGTTTATCATGTCCAGTAACTTTTTAAAAAAATACTGTGGTCTACCATGAACCACAATTCTATGGTCTGTCTGTACGCTTGTGCTCATGGGTTTCGCCCAAGTTGTAAATGTCTCCGCTATGCATTGATTGACTTGAGCAAGTACACAATGAGTGATTAAAGTATATTCCGTCACTTTAACCGCTTCGCAAAAATTGGATTTGACAAAAATATTACAAACGCTACAGTCACCAAAACCGCCGCAGTTATTAATATACTCATGGAAACAAATAAGGGAACACATGAAAGCAAACGTGTTCCTATATTGTCTTCCAGGTGTCCTCGCATGCTTTGTTTGGCATTTTGGTGAAAAGACGGAAAAGCATAAAAGAACACATGTCCTTTCATGTGTTCCTATATTTGTTTCCATGAGTATATTAGCAAAATACATCCATGATTATATCCGTATCAAATACATCACCATCGAATCGTTACCATCCGTTACTTACCTTGTTCTGAAGCTGCACGATACTTGTTACTCCATGTATACTGATCATGTCTTGTTGCCCATAGGTGTCCCTCTTATCCCTTCGTGCCACCGCAGTGCACCCTCCAGCGTGATTTGACCGACATCTGCTGCAACAAGTTGACATGTGACTACTCCAAGCCCACAGTGAACCCATACGCCACTCCTAAACCCAACCAGACACCTTCGCCTGTACCAAGTAGGTGTATTGCTTCATCATTTGTGGGGAAGATGGGGTAGCCTAGTAGTTAAACCGTTCGCTCGTCACGCCGAAGACCTGGTTTCGATTCCCCGCATGGTCACAGTGTGTGAAGCCCATTTCTGGTGTCCCCAGTCGTGATAATGCTGGAATATAGCTAAAAGCGGCGTGCAACTAAACTCACTCACTCACTCATCGTTTGTGGATTATGGGTTCACGGTTACACAAGACCGCCAGGTTTTATGCAAATCCAGAACGCAGATCCGGGTGGGTATCATGGGTTGAATTTGAATGGGACGATTAAGGTTGGGTAGGATGGGGTCGGGTTTGGATGGGGTGGTTAAGATTGGAGCGGTTGGGGTCGGGCTTTGGTGGGGTGGTAGGATGGGATGGGTAGGATGGGGTCGGGTTTGGATGGGGTGGTTAAGATTGGAACGGTTGGGTAGGATGGGGTCGGGTTTGGATCGGGTGGTTAAGATTGGAGCGGCTGGCAGGTAGGATGGGATGGGTAGGATGGGGTCGGGTTTGGATGGGGTGGTTAAGATTGGAACGGTTGGGTAGGATGGGGTCGGGTTTGGATCGGGTGGTTAAGATTGGAGCGGTTGGGTAGGATGGGATGGGTAGGATGGGGTCGGCTTTGGATGGGGTGGTTAAGATTGGAGCGGTTGGGTAGGATGGGGTGGGTAGGATGGGGTCGGGTTTGGATGGGGTGGTTAAGATTGGAACGGTTGGGTAGGATGGGGTTGGTAGGATGGGGTCGGGTTTGGATGGGGTGGTTAAGATTGGAGTGGTAAGGTAGGATGGGGTCGGGTTTGCATGGGGTCGGGTTTGGATGGGGTGGTTAAGATTGGAGTGGTTGGGTAGGATGGGGTGGGGTTCGGTGGTAATAATACAGTGCGTAATACACATAACACAAAATCCTAATAACTAGTAAAGGAACCCGTGAAGATCCGGGTTAGAATTGATCTTCAGTAACTCATACTTGTCGTAAAAGGCGACTAACGGGATCCGGTGGTCAGACTCGCTGACTTGGTTGACACATGTCATCGGTTTCCAATTGCGCAGATCGATGCAGACGCTGTTGATCACTGGATTGTCTGGTTCAGACTCGATTATTTACAGACCGCCTCTATATAGCTGGAATATTGCTGAGTGCGGCGTAAAACTAAACTCACTCACTCACTCAACTAGTAAAGGTAAGACAGGCTCAATTAGAAACTCGGGAACCAGACCAATGGTGGTTCCAAAAGTGTGATTCCGTTTTACAAAACCCCGAGGTCTAAATGGTAAACCCAGCGCTGCAGTGTAAATGACTGAGATGTTCCCAGTTATGAAATCAAACCGGTTTTCACGAAAGGTAAATTACGTCAGACGTTCCTGTCAGAGTTGATTCCATGTCTGTATTGCCATGTGTTCCGCATTCCCAGAATTCTGCGTCTACAAGGGCGTAGTCTACAAACAGAACCAGGTATGGACCGAGGGTTGCGACAAGAAATGTAGGTGCGACGACGCTGACACCAACTTTTACAACTGCTACGACAGGTGAGCCCCTCACAGTTCGTTTAACAGATATTACGTTATGAATGGGGTATGTGCAGAGTTGATTCAATGTACGAGCAGAAAACGATTGCGGTAACTCTGCATGGGAATTCTTTACTTTTTATCTCACGGTCTTTTGGTCTCCATTCACAACATCACTTTACTGTATCCTGGTAACTTCTTGAAGAGCCGTCGTAAGAGGTGACTAACGGGATCGGGTGGTCGGGCTCGCTGGCTTGGTTGACACATGTCATCGGTTCCTAATTGGGCATTTCGATGCTCATGCTGTTGATCACTGGATTGTCTGGTCCACACTCGATATTATTTACAGACCGCCGCCATATAGCTGGAATATTGCTTAGTGCGGCGTAAAACTCACTCACTCTTGAAGAGCCATTCAGTAGTTGGAACAGTTAAGAAAGTTAAACATATATGGATGTACAACGTCTTTTTTACAGCGAGAGCGACGTTTCGGTGTAGGTTCTAACACTTGTTTGAGAACGGTATTAGAACCTACGTCGCCCGCACTGTAATAAAGACGTTGTACATCCATATGATGTTATCCTTCAGTGTTAACCCAGGCTACTTAGATCCGTTTCCGTTTCAGTCGTTGGCTTTATTCAGGTTTTAACATTATTTCCATCCATTTCAGATGTCCATCTTACAGCAACCCACCCCCGGGCTGCACTCTGATTGTTGACCCCAAGGATTCCTGCTGTCAAGTACCACAGTGCCTGGTTTCCCCAACCCTCGCCCCAGGGGCCACCCCTAACCCTAATCCGGGTCAGAACCCCACCCCGAACCCCTACCCCGTCCCAACTGCTGTTCCCGGAACCATCACAGGACAATCACCTAACCACAACCCGCTACAGAAGATTGGTACGTCAACACACATACAAGCCTTGGTGTCTTATGTAATTAGGTAGTCAAACGTTCACCTGTTGCTTTCGTGATCCTGTTCAGTTCCCAGATTTAACGAAATTGAAGAAATGAGTTAATTTGAGGAATGTTTCTTGATGTTATCAGATGTTATCGAATGTTGTTCGTCTTGACCATTTGGATGTATACCAACACTAAATGTGCAGGTCATACTCAAATGTTATTCGAGGTTGATTTTATAGGTTTTCGGGAACCATTATTATGATATATGAAACAAGTTTTAGAAATAAATAAATGAAAACTGTTCAGAAAGGGAAAACAAATATGTATCTTCGATCCTGAATTGGCCCAAACAGTTCAAATTCGAAAAAACACTATATTTACTCATATTAGCTTATATATTTAATCATGAAATACGTGTTATAATTACAGATGTGAAAAAGACAAAAATCAAACTGACATCATTTGAACATGGTTGATAATTTTCATACGAATATTCAAAAGTTTACTTCAAACTGTGAGGTTGTATCCTGAAACAAATGGTTTATACAAGTTTGTATGTGAGACTGACCCTGCTTGTGTTTGCAGGGTACTGTATGTACAAGGGTGTTAAGTACACAAGTTTGTATGTGAGACTGACCCTGCTTGTGTTTGCAGGGTACTGTATGTACAAGGGTGTTAAGTATACCAAGGGCCAGACATGGCAGGATGGATGCTCCATGAACTGCGAGTGTCTCGACGACAACACAGGCCAGTACAAGTGTACCGAGAGGTGGGTTCAGCATAGAATCGGCATCTTTGGATTTATTTGGTAGTGTGTCGTTTTGTTTGTTTTTTGTTTAACGCCGCAGTCAGCAATATTCCAGCTATATGGCGGTGGTCTGTAAATAACTGAGACTGGATAATCCAGTGATCAACAGCATGAACATCGATCCACGCACTTGGGATACGATGACATGTGTCAACCCAGTCAGCGAGCCTGACCACCCGATCCCTTAGTCGCCTACGACAAGAACGGGTTGCTGAAGACTACTATACATGGATCAAATTGCGAGATCAGCAAATGTTTCCTGACTTAGTTTGCTATTTCAAATGCTGCCTAAGGCGTGCAAGAAATCTATGGTCGTGGGTTCGAAGTCCGTTTATCATTATGGATGTAGATCCGACAGCACCATTTTCGTGTTCATGGGTTTCGCCAAACAGTGTTAGACCTCACTCACTCACTCAGGTAACCACCAAAGCATCCGCTCACCACTAACCACTCACTCACTCACTCAGGTGCCCCAACTACGTGAACATCCCGAGCTACTGCATCTTGGTGAAGGACCCCCGAGACAACTGCTGCCTGACCCCCACCTGCCCCGGGATCAACCCCAACCCAAGCAAAGTCTCCCCAAGCCCCGGTACTAACATTACCCCAACACCCGGGACGCCCAAACTCAAAGGTAAGCAGTGACGTAATAATATTTTAGTGCCTTCGCTGCGGCAAGGTCCTTTCTTTCGTCTTGTCTGAAGAATTTGGGCTTTTTCATTATGGTCATCTTTTATTGCTTCTTTTGTTTTTGTTAAGAATACTTTTTTTGGTTTTGATAACAGCGTTAGTATAATTTTCACAATAACTATTAATAATAACCCGACACTATCACATATTAATCAGACAAAGGTTCTGCAGAAAGGATTCCTGAATATCCAGGGTAGACCTGTTGCTACAAGTATCATGGAACTCTGGTGTCTATGTGACATGTATGATTGGTCCTTACAGATGTGTGTGTATACAATGGACGCTCGTACACTCAGGGCCAGGAGTGGTATGATGGCTGCGACAAGAAGTGTGTATGCGAGGATGGCACCACGGGCTTCGTCAGGTGTACCGACAGGTAAGTTTATGTACAGGGACGCTATCGTCGTAGGTAGAGGGATAGTTCATTGGCAGCGTAATTGCAGTGTGTAGATCCTGTTGACCTTTCAAATTCAAGCAGGTGTGTGTTTGAGATGGCGGGTAAGGTAGACTGATTAGTTCCCCCTGGTGTATACACGCAGGTATGTTCGCTTAGAAAATGTACGTTTCTATAGGTGTAGTGACGTGCACACTTGTATAGGTGAGTGGCATGTAAACACATGAAACATGTGGTCTCATCTCAGGTAAGTGAGTTAGTTCAAAATTACCTCTGTGCACCCAGCTGTGAATGGGTACCCGGTGGGATCAGATTGTCTTATAACTGTTAACCTTCTATCGCCTCACAGGCAGCTTGGGTAATGCAATAATGTCTGCGCTTTGCGCATAATTTGGCCTTTGCGCCACTGGGCGTATTAGGCCCTCTACAAGTCTTTATATGTGTTGATATGTAAGTGTCAACAGGTGTAGCGACATGTAAGTCTCTACAGGTGCAGTGACGTGTAAATATATGATACATTTATATTATTATTATACTTCGTGTATGTATGACAGTATAGTAAAGTATAGTTCACTAAAGTACCAGTAAGTAAGATTAGTATAGTATATTATAGTACAATAAAGTTTTGTATGAGGTGATGTCATTCATTCCAATGCCTGTCTATGCATTCCGCATCAGGTGCGCCTATTTCAACTCCATCGCCCCCAACTGCGTGATGGTACCCGACCCCAAAGACCCCTCGTGCTGTTTGGCGCCACAGTGTGACCAGACCAACAAGACTGTCCCCACCGGGGTCATTGGTCACATCACTGGATACGGTCTTCCCCCTACCCCTCAGCCTATGGTCAGCCCCGCCCCGGGAGTCAGCACACCAGCCCCCGTGGTCACTCTCACGCCACCACTCAAAGGTGAGAGATTCTAGCATATAAACATATATATGCCTATATACTTTCAATGAGTCAGTGTGTGCTGAGATTAAATGTCACCAAATGTTTGATCTTCACGATGTGTCTTCAAATTATACATAATTACAGACCTTAGCGATACCAGGATCCGCTGATTTCACAATTCGCCCTGATTTACGTCCCTATTCTGTCAGCACCTCACACGAGCTACGGAGATTCTCAAAGCAGCCTCTTCTTCATCTCACATTAGTCAGACATTAAAACATACTACATAACCTAAGCGTATAACGATGTACAACTGAAGAAGTGTTATATCTTACAGGGCAGATTTATTTGCTGATAAAATAGCGAGACTTCATAAAACGTGTATCATGTTTTTGCAAGAGTACAGCTGGAAATAGACAAAAACGATTTAAAAAAAATTAAGTTTCAAATTCCATATAGCTGAAATTTAATACCGGTCTTGTGATCAGTCACGAATAAGAGAGGTCTGAATTACAAAGGCACCGGTATAAGGAGGTTTCATTGACTGAGTCTGGTCTCTTCCCAGATGTGTGTGTGTACAAGGGCACCCCCTACAAGCAGGGTCAGCGGTGGCAGGACGGATGTGACTACACCTGTGTTTGTGAAGACGCCACTACAGGAAAATATGATTGCTCTGACATGTAAGCTATTTCACATGGAACTATTTAAAGCGAGGAATCTTTGTCAATTTACATGTTAGTAGATAAGAAAAACTCCGATTCTGTATGGATTACTGTTTAACGTCTTCAAAACATTTTAAGGCTACTTGTTTGACAGTTTTCTTTGTACACTTTCGTGTTTTGTTTTGACGACGCTAAGCAACATTGCAGTCTGTAAATGATGTAGCTGAACCTGACAATCCAGTGATTGACATCATGAACATCAATGTATGCAATCGAGTTACCATGACATGCTTCAACCAAGACAACGACCCTGACCACGCGATCCCGTTAGCAGCCCGTTAAAGAGAATTTGTTAAAGAAAACAATATCTACTGTAACAGAAAGGCCGCCATAGTCTATAAAAGCTTAGCCTTTCTTCCTTTAACTGCTGGGTAGTCTAGTGGTTAAAGCGTTCGCTCGTCACGCCGAACAGCCGAGATCGATTCCGCACATGGTTACAATGTGTGGAGCCGAATTGAGATGTCCCCCGCCGTAATATAGCTGGAATATGTCTAAAAGTGGCCTAAAACCCAACTGACTCACTCACTCACCCACTCATTTACCTTCTTTATTACTCGGGTGGAGGAATGCAGGATAAAAGGGCTAACACTATTCCCTTAATCAACGTGGGAAGAGTATTAATATAGATAATAACCGACGTATAAAACACAAGATATGAGTAATCTTCTGAACTCCCTGGGGAGTATCAATCCTATGCTGCTTGTAGGTTACTAGATATTTTGCATGCATGTTATTACTAATACCAAGCAAACACCAAGAAACCCCCAAGCCTAACTTGCTGATCACAGTGCCTACTGTGCCGTATATCTAATCTGTTGTCTACATGTGCAGCTGTCCACGATACCCCAACCTCCCCTACTACTGCACCATGACATACGACCCTACCAACCCTTGCTGTCAGAAACCGGAATGCCACTTGCCCAGCCCCACCAAGACACCCGGTGTCAGCCCGTCACCTGGCGCCACCCAGACACCAACTGCAAGTAAGACTCCACAGAGACTACAATGAGCCGACAGCATTAAAGGGATGTTGATTGGACAGTCCCTGCACATTTGATTCACTTCGTTCTTTTCTTTTTATGATTTACATCAGTGTAACGTTGATGCTTATCGTTGTCACTACCGGGACCAAAGTCAAATCTAAACTGAAAATGAACAATAGTCCACCTTTAGCATAGTTTCTCTTTCAATTCTCAGTAACGACGACCCATTGGACCCAAGGACATCAGTATTTAGAGAGAAATAAGTACATGTGTTTTAGTTTATGTTCGTAATACGTAATTATACCGTCAAACAAATATGTCCACGGTCATAAGAATTGTGCTACTACTGAAGTGTTCAGTGTACGATTGGGGCAGTGGGGTAGCCTAGTGGTTAAAGCGTACGCTCGCCACGCCGAAGACCCGGGTTTGTTTCCCCACATGGGTACAGTGTGAGAACCCCATTTCTGGTGTCCCTCGCCGTGATATTGCTGGAATATTGCTAAAAGAGGCATACACCTAAATTCACTCACTTACTCCAGGGTACGATTCGGACTATAATATAAAACGTATTCTATGTCATAAGCATGTATCTCAGAATCATCTTCAAATAGTGATGGAAACCTGCTTGTGTTATAAGCAATGTACCATACACTACACTCCTTGCTACCTCGCCACTACAGTACACTGTGATTGCAGGCTTCTGTGTCTACAACGGTATCCCGTACAGACAAGGACAGAATTGGCAGGTGGGCTGCGACAAGGTGTGTCGATGTGAAGACTCTGTGACCAACTTGATCGACTGTGATGACAGGTATTTGAACGAGGATACAAAATATCACATTTATTCAAACTATTAATATAACTCATTAATATTTAAACAAAATCTAGTACCTGTCTGTCTGAGTCTGGCAGGAGACTCGGATTAAATGGAAGTTTCCTGGAATATAATGCTGAAAAGAATTTGACTTTGGTCATAAAACAAATTGCTCGCTAGGTGTCGAGATAAAACGATCGGACCATCCTTTCAAGGAATGTGCATGTGGTAATGCAGAAACCAAACAGCACAACATGTTTCTTAGAAAATCCCTGGCCGCTCGTTATTATCAAATTAAAATCCCCAAGATTTAGTAAATGCAATAATGAGTAAAATGCAATAATGATAAAGAAATGTTCAGGAGTCGAAATCCCTCCTGTCTTCTTAAAATGGCGATGTAGTGGCCTTACATTAGATTATATAATTTTTTATAGATAATCCACAAATATAGATGTTGCGACAGGAATACAATTAATCATCCGAATAACATATATTACTTATTTACTGATGTGCACTACTGTATGATGGTAGTAAAACAGAAAAGCAAGAAGAAAAAATAATAACATCTTTGGACTTTAGGTTTCAAGTGGTTTTACCCCAGTAACCCCTCGATAAAGCTTGTAACTTTTAGTCATATCCAGGTCTCAAGTGTTTTTTCCACTATCAATGCGGGAACACAGAGATAGGATTTACACCACCACCTGGTGCTATACCTTATCTTGGACCACCTCCTATCGGCCATATACCCTATCCAATCGGCCATATGCCGTAGCCTGGGGCAACGTCATACCCTGGACCATCTAAATACCCGATAGGATTTACACCATCTCCTGGTTCTACACCTTACCTGGGACCAACTCCTTACCCAATCGGGTAATCCCCATGGCCTGGAGCAACAACCTATCCTGGACTAACCCCCTATCCTATTGGCTTTACACCATCGCCAGGTGCCACTCCTTACCTTACCGGGTTCAGAGGTAACAATCTCTCTTGTCCACCAGATGCCACTCCTTACCTTACCAGGTTCAGAGAGTAACGCTCCCTCTTGTCCGCCAGGTGCCCGAGCTATCCTCAGACCCCGTCTGACTGCGTGTTGATCACTGACCCCTCCGACAAGTGCTGCCAGGTCCCCAGCTGCGGTAACAGCCCCAACACCAACAACCCCTCTCACACCATCAAAGGCGTGCCCGGCACTATCACCGGACAGATGCTACCCCCAGACAACATGAACCCACTGCCTCTTAAAAGTGAGACTCAACTTTCTGATACCCATACACATACATACGTGCGTGAGTACGTGAGCGCGCGCGTGTGTGCATGCGTTCATAAACAGCAACAACTCTGCAGATAAATATCTATCTTACTCTCTTGAAAGTTAATGAAATGAAAAATACATATAATGAAAAATATTTCCGACGGTGAAGGTAAATGCCGTGCTTATATCCTCATTTGATTTTTTCTCTTTTCCGTTTTCCTGAATACACTACCAATGCTTGTTCTACCCACAGATGCATGCGTATATAATGGCAAGACCTATCACCAAGGAGAGACATGGGAGGACGGTTGTACTTATGACTGTGAATGTATAGACAGTGCAGATGGCAAATATAGGTGTACTGAAAAGTAAGTATTTTTCAAATTGGAAAATTTAGTGTTTGGTAAATATTTGGAACATGTAAAATCAATTTCTGGTGCCCGTAGTGATCTTGCTCGATATTGCTGACAGCGGCGTAAAATTTGACTCCATCACTCATGACAGAAGATCCACCAATGTGTTTCCTTTGTTTCAGATGCCCGGCGTATCCCCAGGTGCCGTCCTACTGTACCATGATTCAAGACCCTCAGGATAAATGCTGCGAGGTTCCTTATTGCCCAACACTTGTACCCCCAATGAACACGCTCTACCCCACACCATACCCGATTGGTTACACGCCTTACCCTGGAGCCACTCCCTATCCAGGTCCATCCAAGTACCCAATAGGCTTTACACCATCTCCTGGGGCAACGCCGTATCTCGGGCCAACTCCTTATCCAATAGGGTACACTCCCTACCCAGGCGCTACTCCATACCCAGGACCAACACGCTATCCAATAGGATTCACGCCCTCTCCCGGTGCAACACCCTACCTTGGACCAACACCATATCCAATCGGCTATACACCTTATCTGGGTGCAACCCCATACCCGGGACCAACTCCCTACCCAATTGGATTCACACCCTCTCCTGGTGCCACACCTTATCACCTCCCTACACCCTGGCCAATAGGATTCACGCCTTTCCCGGGCGCCACTCCCTACCCAGGACCATCTAAATACCCAATTGGATTTACCCCATCACCCGGTGCTACTCCGTACCTTGGACCGACGCCATACCCGATTGGATACACTCCATATCCAGGGGCAACACCTTACCCAGGGCCTTCAAAATACCCGATTGGTTTCATTCCTTCCCCAGGAGCAACGCCCTATCCTGGACCAACCCCATGGCCTATCGGCTACACCCCTTCACCAGGTGCGACGCCATATGCAGGACCTAACTCACCAACACCTTATCCCATTGGTTACACGCCATCACCTGGAGCAACCCCATATCTGGGACCCACTCCCTCCTTTATCGGATACACTCCTTGGCCAGGCGCAACACCATATCCAGGACCGTCTAAATATCCCATTGGCTTTACACCTTCACCAGGTGCAACCCCTTACCTGGGACCTACTCCTTACCCCATTGGATATACACCATGGCCAGGGGCAACACCATACCCAGGACCATCAAAATATCCAATAGGTTTCACACCATCTCCTGGAGCTACACCCTATCTTGGACCTACCCCATATCCTATTGGATATACACCATACCCTGGTGCCACGCCTTATCCAGGACCAACAAGATACCCATTTGGATTCACCCCGTCACCAGGTGCAACGCCGTACCTGGGACCAACACCCTATCCAATCGGCTATATACCGTATCCTGGGGCAACACCATACCCTGGTCCATCTAAATACCCGATAGGATTTACACCATCTCCTGGTGCTACACCTTACCTGGGACCAACTCCTTACCCAATCGGGTATACCCCATGGCCTGGAGCAACCCCCTATCCTGGACCAACACCCTATCCTATTGGCTTTACACCATCGCCAGGTGCCACTCCTTACCATATTCCAACACCTTGGCCAATCGGATACACTCCAGTTCCTGGCGCAACCCCGTACCCAGGACCGACACCTTATCCTATTGGTTATACACCATCACCAGGTGCAACACCATACCATCTTCCAACACCCTGGCCAGTTGGATTCACTCCATTCCCAGGAGCAACACCATACCCAGGACCAACACCCTATCCTATTGGTTATACGCCTTCTCCCGGGGCTACACCATACCACCTTCCAACACCCTGGCCAGTTGGATTCACTCCATTCCCTGGAGCAACACCATACCCAGGACCAACACCCTATCCTATTGGTTATACGCCTTCTCCCGGGGCTACACCGTATGCTGGACCTACGCCATATCCGATTGGCTACACGCCTTTCCCTGGCGCAACACCTTATCCAGGTCCATCTAAATACCCAATTGGATATACGCCGTCTCCAGGTGCCACGCCATATCTTGGACCCACACCTTACCCGATAGGTTTCACACCATACCCTGGTGCCACACCTTACCCAGGCCCATCCAAGTATCCTATTGGATACACGCCATCGCCTGGTGCTACACCATATCTTGGACCTACTCCTTACCCAATTGGATACACTCCTTGGCCAGGGGCAACACCATACCCAGGACCATCCCTATATATGCCCATCGGATACACACCATCTCCAGGTGCTACACCATACCTTGGGCCCACCCCGTATCCAATAGGTTATGTGCCATACCCTGGCGCAACACCTTATCCAGGCCCATCAAAATACCCAATTGGATTCACACCATCCCCAGGTGCTACCCCATACCTTGGACCAACTCCTTATCCAGTTGGTTTCACTCCATCACCCGGTGCTACTCCCTACCCAGGCCCATCTAAATACCCAATCGGTTTTACTCCGTTCCCTGGCGCAACACCTTACCTTGGACCTACACCTTATCCAATTGGCTTTACACCATACCCTGGTGCAACACCTTATCCAGGTCCATCTAAATATCCCATTGGGTTTGTTCCATCGCCTGGTGCAACACCCTACCCAGGACCAACGCCGTACCCCGTTGGCTATACACCATATCCAGGAGCTACCCCTTATAAGCTTCCAACTATTCCATCAACAAACACCCCAACCACTCCTTATCCGATTGGTTACACTCCATGGCCTGGCGCAACACCGTACCCAGGACCAACTCCTTACCCGATAGGATTCACACCGTCTCCAGGTGCAACACCTTACCATGTTCCAACACCCTGGCCTATTGGTTATAAACCATATCCTGGTGCAACACCATACCCAGGGCCTACTCCATACCCTATTGGATTCACGCCATCCCCAGGTGCTACCCCATACCTGGGACCAACACCCTACCCCATAGGATATACACCTTACCCCGGAGCCACTCCCTACCCTGGACCAAGTAAGTACCCCATTGGATTCACACCTTCACCTGGAGCGACTCCGTACTTGGGACCAACACCATACCCTATCGGATACACACCTTGGCCAGGCGCAACACCATATCCAGGACCGTCTAAATATCCCATTGGCTTTACACCTTCACCAGGTGCAACCCCTTACCTGGGACCTACTCCTTACCCAATTGGCTATGTACCATATCCCGGTGCAACCCCCTACCCAGGACCAACTAGGTATCCTATCGGATTCACACCATCACCAGGCGCCACACCTTATAGAGGACCAACACCATACCCCATTGGATACACACCATATCCCGGGGCAACACCTTACCCAGGACTCACCCCATACCCGATAGGATTCACACCTTCGCCAGGAGCAACTCCGTACAGAGGCCCAACACCATATCCAGTTGGCTACACACCTTGGCCAGGAGCAACACCATATCCAGGTCCAACTCCATATCCTATTGGATTTACCCCATCTCCTGGCGCAACACCATACCATGTTCCTACTCCTTGGCCAATCGGCTACACTCCTTATCTAGGTGCAACTCCCTACCCTGGACCAACACCTTACCCAATTGGATACACACCATCTCCTGGCGCTACACCATTCCACCTAGGAACACCCTGGCCAATAGGGTTCACCCCCTACATAGGAGCTACGCCATACCCAGGACCGACACCTTATCCAATTGGCTACACACCCTCACCCGGGGCAACACCTTACAAAGCTCCAACACCATGGCCCATTGGCTACACTCCGTATCTCGGGGCCACACCGTACCCAGGACCAACACCATACCCCATTGGCTACACTCCCTCACCCGGGGCAACACCCTATAAAGCACCAACACCATGGCCCATTGGTTTCACACCTTATCCCGGAGCAACACCATACCCAGGACCAACCTTATATCCACCTGGGTTCACGCCATCTCCAGGAGCCACCCCGTATCAAGGACCTACCCCATACCCGATAGGCTACACGCCATTCCCTGGTGCGACACCTTACCCAGGCCCAACACCGTATCCTATTGGTTATACACCGTCACCAGGCGCAACACCATACTTAGGACCAACACCATATCCAATTGGCTTTGTTCCATATCCAGGAGCCACCCCTTACCCAGGGCCGTCTAGGTGGCCAATAGGTTTCACTCCTTCACCCGGAGCCACACCTTACAAGGGACCCACTCCTTATCCCATTGGCTACACCCCCTGGCCGGGCGCAACACCCTACCCAGGACCAACACCCTACCCAATTGGCTTCATTCCCTATCCAGGAGCAACACCATATCTTGGACCTACGCCTTACCCCATAGGGTATGTTCCTTTCCCCGGTGCTACTCCATATCCAGGTCCCAGCAAATATCCGATCGGATTCACACCCTCCCCAGGTGCAACCCCATACCTTGGACCAACACCTTATCCCATCGGCTACGTTCCCTACCCAGGGGCAACTCCTTACCCGGGACCATCAAAATACCCCATTGGGTTCACACCTTCCATTGGAGCCACACCCTACCTTGGACCCACCCCATATCCAGTTGGATACACTCCATGGCTAGGTGCGACACCTTATCCAGGACCAACACCCTATCCAATTGGATTCACACCCTCTCCTGGTGCCACACCGTATCGCCTACCCACACCATGGCCCATTGGTTACACACCTTTCCCTGGTGCCACACCTTACCCCGGTCCAACTAAGTATCCTATTGGATTTACCCCGAGTATAGGTGCCACACCATACCTTGGCCCAACTCCTTACCCAATAGGATATGTACCATTCCCTGGTGCCACCCCATACCCAGGACCAAGCAAATACCCCATTGGATTCATCCCATATCCCGGAGGTACCCCCTATTTGGGACCTACTCCTTGGCCAATCGGATTCACCCCATCACCAGGGGCAACACCATATCCCGGTCCTTCTAAATATCCATTCGGTTTCACGCCATTCCCTGGGGCAACACCCTACCTCGGACCGACCCCATACCCGATTGGATACACGCCATCACTAGGTGCTACACCTTACCCTGGACCATCTAGATATCCTATAGGCTACACCCCGTCCCCTGGAGCCACGCCCTACCTCGGACCAACGCCCTACCCTATTGGTTATGTGCCCTACCCTGGAGCAACTCCCTATCCAGGACCAACACCTATACCAGGTATGCCTCCTTCGTCATTTAGATGTGTAGGAAACTTGTGTCACGCTCTTATCACACACAGCTGTAATGAAGAGAATACGAAATTTGTTATAAACTTCTTCCTCTTGAGCACATGCAAAAATATAAGCGTTAAGAATGAAAAGCTGTATATAATGTATCATTATGTTATTAATTTTGTTTCTGTTTAACACCGCACTCGGCAATATTCCAGCTACAGGCGGCGGTCTGTGTATATAATCGCGTCTGGACCAGACAATCCAGTGCTTGACATCATGATGTATAATGAGATGACATGCAAAACGGTTGCAGCTAGTTATAACCCGACTTTTTCAGCTGTGTGGACAATGATATCTAAGTCAGAACAATGTTATGTTTGTTTATACCCAGGCTATACACCCATGACTGGCGTGACCCAAGCACCCAGAGTTAAAGGTCAGTATCAACTTTTACGAGACATACCAGGGATGCTGTAATAGTCATCAAGTGTAGTTTGATGTCGTGACTCAATTAGCGAAAATTGAAAACTGGATTCAATAAAAACGGTAAACAGCATAGCCTCAGATAAAAACAATTCTTCCTTTCATCAACCCAGTATTATGAATAGGACACATTCAATGTTGTAAACAAAACGTATTGAGTAAAGAGACATCTTAGTGCTATGCCAGTTGGAGACCAAACCAGGTACATTGTAGCCAGTTTGGAGTGGCCATTGAACATGTTGTATTTTTGTCAAGGACCTAGGGTCTCCCTATCCCAATACTAGTATATTTTTTAACAGTGGTTGCTTCTTGATACCTAACGATTCTGTGTCTGTTTGAAACAGTTGTTATTCTTGACAATTCCCTACTGTGTGTCTGTTTAATACATTTGTTCTTCTCAACAATTACCTATTGTGTTAATGTTCAATACAATTGTTCTTCGTGACAATTACCCATTGTGTTTATGTTCAATACAATTGTTCTTCGTGACAATTATCTATTGTGTTTATGTTCAATTCAATTGTTCTTCTTCACAATTAGTGTGTCTCTGTTCAATACAATTGTTCTTGCTGACAATTGCCTATTGTGTCTCTGTTCAATACAATTGTTCTTGTTGACAATTCCATCTAGGCATGTGCGAGTACAACAACCAGTATTACAAGGAAGGCCAGCTGTGGTACGACGGCTGCAACAAAGTGTGCCGCTGCGAGAGCGCCGACTTCAACTTCCATAGGTGCCAAGACAGGTAGGAGGACATAGACAAATCTGTAACGTCGTCTTGCACGCATCAGTGTAAACATTGTTGTTTAACGGATTATTCGTTAGTCTTCGAACTGTGAATTTATGAGCCCAGATCCCATAGTGCTCTGATACTCAATCCAAAAGCTGTAGGCGAATATGTGAATAGAAATGGTGACGAAATATGGACGCTTAATCGCCAGTATTCACATGATTGGTATAAACCATGTTTCTATTTTAATAGAAAAGGAATTTGAACGTGAATCTCATCACGTATACACCGTGTCTTCCATGTTGTTGAAATCCACTTCAGACCAGTTTTAAACAAACACAGGAACGTGCATCAGCTTCGTATTGATCGATGTGACTTTTTATCAAATCTAGCACAGAACAATTTTTATATGAAATGAAAGTTCATGTTGGCACCGGGTTAGCCAAGTGGTTAAAGCGTTCGCTCGTCACGCCGAAGACCCGGGTTCGAGCCACCATATGGGTACAATGTGTGAAGCCCATTTCTGGTGTCCCACGCTGTGGTATTGTTGGAATATTGCTAAAAGCGGTGTAAAACTTAACTCACTTACTAACCCATGTTGGCACCACTGTTTTCACGGACGTAGAAAGATGTCTACAAACAGCGTGATTGCACAGGTAGTATGGACATAGGTCATACAACAGCGATGAAATACAAACTGACACCATGGCACATTCAGTGTGTCACTGCCCCTCCCACATGGTCGACCCCTGAAGATCCGACCCCTGAAGATCCGGGTTAGAATTGATCTCCAGCAACCCGTGCTAGTTGTAAGAGGCAACTAACGGGGTCGGGCGGTCAGGCTCGCTGACTTGGTTGACACATGTCAACATATCCAAGTTGTGTAGATAGATGCTCATGCTGTTGATCACTGGATTGTCTGGTCCAGACTATTTACAGACCACCGCCATATAGCTGGAATATTGCTGAGTACGGCATAAAACTAAACTCACTCACTCACTCTCAGATGGTCGGTGAAGTTCGAGGAATAACAGTTACAATCTACATTCCAGGTGCACGAAGTATGACAACATCCAGTCTTCTTGCCTCATGGTGCCTGATCCAAAGGACCCGTCCTGTTGTAAGAAGCCTCAGTGTCCGGTCCCCACCCCTGCACCAGGAGTGACACCCACACCAGGGTTCATCTCTGTCACTCCCGTCCCTGGATACATCAACGGTTACGGCAAACCTCCAACCATGGCCCCAGGTGTATCACCGTCCCCAGGGTCACAGGCTACACCCTCGCCAACAGGTAACAAGGATTAGTTCACTGTACATGTATCATAATGGGATTGCAGCCACCGCAGGCACATCATCAAAGAATAGTTGCATCATTCTTTTATGCCACATGTAAAATGATTTAGCGCCCTCCACTACACTAGTCGCCGTTCACCTGTGTCATGATTACAGTTTCCATGATACTTTAACCTACGTAAGACAAGTGCATATAGCGTTAACCCAGGCACGGAAATTTCGATCGTTCGAGCCTCGCCGCGCTATGTCACAAGATGGTACTTGTTGTTTCCCTGCCTGGTGCTTCTCATTATGTGCATAAAACAAACAAACAAGTATACACTCGAGCTTGTACACCGCTTTGTCAAGTGTAAGTGAGATGTCACCTCATACAACTTAACCTCATTGTGCAAGTGAATATGTTCCAAATATAATTTTTGAAGAACAAAGTTCGTTAAGTTTCCCCCTCACCCCCAGTAAATCTGAATTATGAAACTGGCTAGAAATGAGTTTGTAAAGCGTATTGTTGAATATAGTTCCCATATAGTTACCCAGTGAAATTGTGGTGGTGGAATTGGGTTTAACGTCGTGCTTGAGAATATTTCGCTCATATGACGACGTGCATGCGTGTGTATGTGTATGTGTGGCTGCTTGTACTAGCCCAGACTGAAGCTGGTTTTATAGTGCTAGCCCACTGAGATACCATGCCGCAGTGAAGCATGAATACCCCACTCAGACACATTATACTGACTCCGAGCCGACCAGTCCTTGTTGTACCCATTATTGCTGAGCGCCAGGCAGGGACCAACAAGTACCATATTTTAACGTCTGTTGGTATGACGCGGTCGGGGATCGAACCCGCGACCTTCCGCACTCCGGGCGGACGCTCTAACCACTATACCACGGAGGCGGTCCAGTGAAATTGTACTTGTAAATACATGTGTGGGTGAAAGAACCATTGCTACATAGCGATGTCCTCAACTACTATAGATTGCTGTAATTTGGATGTTGTCAAAAATGAAATTGTCCCGAGGAACAAATGATTGATGATTTTTTGTAACACAGTAATGTGCATTATGTTTTCACTCACTCATTCACGCAGTCAACTACCCACAAACCCACCCACTCACTCACCCCAAACCCACCCACTCACTCACTCACTCACGCTTGTACAGGCTGCATGTACAAGGGCCAAGTCTACAACAAGGGGCAGAAGTGGGAGGATGGATGTGACTCCGACTGTGAATGTCTGGATGACGCTACTGGCCAGTACAAGTGCACCAAGAAGTAAGTAACAGACCACTGCACATCCTGGTCATCAGGTTAGCGTCACGCTATGTCTTAGCGTCACGCTATGTCCTAATCCTTATGGATATCATTGCTGGTAACTCCTTTAAGCTTAGTACTTAAAATGTCCATGTACGCCGTCTTGGTCTCGTTGCTATATGGCTGAGATAATGCCGATGCCACGTAAAATCCAACTCAGCTGAACTCAACTCATTGCTGGCATTCTATCTAGCGTTGCCTCTCTAGTTCTACACTCCCCCTGAATTTCCCATAGGTTGTCATGATTATGCAGGGAATATCACCTGTTCGCCCTGATGAATTATCAACATGTACAGCAGCGTATTCATTAAAATATCCAAATATTCGCTCCTCGTACAAAGTACATAAACTGCAGTTTTACTACTTTGGCTGGAAGTTTGGAGAACAACCAAGCATACATCGTGTAATCAATAGTTCGAGACAAACGGAGTTAGATGATGACTACCATCTTAAATTATAATTAAATTAAATAACGTTATTTTATCACATTGATTTCAACGGTATTTTGAATAATTTTAAGTTTGCATTCGAAAGGTTTAACTTTGATCTGGATAACGTTAACCCTTGGTTGGGGCGGTGGGGTAGCCTAATGGTTAAACCGTCGTACGTCACGTCGAAGACCAGGTTCCATTCCACACATTAGTACAATGTGTGAAGCCCATTTCTGGTGTCCCACGGAGTACTGGAACAGGGCTGAAAGCGGCATAAAACAATACTTTTTTCTTAATGTCCAGGTGTCCGGCAGTTCCTCAGCTTCCGAACCGCTGTGTCCTGCTCCAGGATCCCACCAACCCCTGTTGCAAGCGTCCATTCTGCGACTTCATGAATCCCACGCCCTTCCCTGGCGGTGTCCCCACCCCCAATCCGATCCTCAACCCTTCACTGGGACCTAATCAGCAAACAACACAGAAGCCAGGCCCCGGGGTGTCCAATGCTGCAAATCATAACCAAGGTCAGACTGCTGGTGAGTGTTAACTGTCATAGTTTAAAGACTTGATGATACAAAGCAACAAATATGCCATACTGGATTTCCCTTTTGGTACTCGTCAACGTCTTGATTAAACTATCTGGCTAAAATTAAGCAAATTGTATTGTTCCATGTGTTCTTTTAAACAATGATGGTATGTTACAAGGTTCGCTAGTAATCTACAAATATGTACTTGGAATTGGGCTTTCAACTGGAAAAGGCTCGAACAAATTATAACGCACAAGACAAGTTCAACATTTGTGAACTGAAAATGAGCTACAGACAATGAAACATAGTACCTCTGTAATATAACCATTTAATTCAAAATGATATACAGTGACATCCAGAAGTGTCAGGTGGAAATATCCGAGCCCTTAGCCATACTGGGAGCACAATGAGAGTGCAGTCTAAGTAAACTTTGGCTCAGTATTATTCGTTACACTGCTATTCTGAGTTTAACAGTGTAACGAATACTACTGAGCCTAAGTTTACTTAGACTGAATGACAGTGTAAACAAGACTACTGTTGTCACCACTGTGGCTTCATACTTTAGTTTTATCGGTGCCCTATTCCAGGCTTCTGCATGTACAAGGGTGTGCCATACCAGAAAGGTCAGACTTGGAGCGATGCCTGTGACAAGACGTGTGTGTGTGACGACCCCACCAACAACCTCTACACGTGCAGAGATAGGTAAGTACTGATTCTTTGATGACCTAGATTACACCTATGTGAACCACGAGGGATATCTGACGAACTCAAGCTCCGAGAATATCAGTATATTTTTATTTTTGCAGAAATGTTTGTTTAATGTAGAAACTGCGTTACCGTGAGTTTATGGGTTTAATGTTTAATGTTTAACATTTAATGGACTTATATTTCAGTTTTTGTGGGTTTTTCAGTGTATTGTCAAGGCGTGTCAGTGTATTGTCAAGGCGTGACAATGTATTGTCAAAACGTGTCAATATATTGTCAAGGCGTGTCAGTGTATTGTCAAGGCGTGTCAGCGTATTGTCAAAACGTGTCAATATATTGTCAAGGCGTGTCAGTGTATTGTCAAGGCGTGTCAGCGTATTGTCAAAACGTGTCAATATATTGTCAAGGCGTGTCGGTGTATTGTCGAGGCGTGTACGAGTATTGTCAAGGCGTGTCAATATATTGTCAAAGCGTGTCAATATATTGTCAAGGCGTGTCAATATATTGTCAAGGCGTGTCATAATATTGTCAAAACGTGTCAATATATTGTCAAGGCATGTTAACACGTGAAGCCTTCCATTACTAGTTGTTACTAGTCGGACTGTGGTTGAAGCATTGACACATTATATGTTAACTCACAAAGTTTTCTTACAGGTGTTCCTCCTTCAACAACCTTGCTCCTACATGTACTCTTGAGACCGACCCTAACGACCCGTGTTGTGTGGTCCCAGACTGCAACCACCTCCCTCCAGTGAGCCTTACCCCCGGGACACTCCCGGGCATCAACGGAACCAGCAATCCCTTGAACCCCTATCCTTCATACGGTCCAGGTTTCACGGGTCAGCCCACGTACATTCAGCCAACAGGCATCCCGGGCACCTTCACTGGTAATTCCGGGTTCGGATCCGGTAACCCCGGTCAACAAGTCGGTGGAATGATGTCTGGAATGAGAAGTGAGTGTATCTGATTCTTGTAAATTTTGGGATGGTGGGATGTTGATAGAACGTTTGCTCTCAGAGCGAAAGGTTTGGGGTTCGAATACCAAAACTTTCAGACCAACATTATACAGCTGGAATATTGCTGGGTTCGGCGTGTAACACCAAACAAATCTCACCTAAAAGACGTTAAAAAGGTGGTACTTTTTATTTCCCTGCCTAACACAAAGGGGATAAAACAACGACTGGTGGACTCGAAGTCTGTATACTGAGTGGGGTAAAGATTCTAAACTACGGCATGGCAGCTAAGTACGCTCCCCCCTCGTTTTTACATTTGGGATGAAAACCTCGACAACACTAAAGTATTGCGAGTGTGCAATAATCGTTAAAAGCTGAAAGTGTATAATAACACAACTAGTGTAGAATAACCGTTATATATTACGACTGTGTACTAACCGTTGTGTGAAGGTGTATAAAGAATACTGTATATTGCAGACATGTGCGTGTACAAGGGAACCACATATTCTCAAGGACAGACCTGGAGTGATGGCTGCAACTACAACTGCGAATGTATTGACGCCGTCAGAGGCAAATACAGATGTAACGACAGGTGAATATGCATGCATATGGGACGCGGAACATGATATGATACCTGTTACCTGCTGTAATATATAGGAACTAGTAATATATGTATGTACCTTTTAGTGAGTGACATATGTAGGTGAGTTAGCAATGATTTCTTTAAGTGGCATCTAGAAGCTGGTATGATGAACAGGAACACCTTTTATGGATAGACATCTTCTTTTTAGATAGATAGATGGCATCTATTGCAATAAAGAATTTGTCTATCCATAAAAGTATTCCAGTTTGAGTTAGCAATGAGCTAGAAAGTCATTGAGTAAATGAGCGGTTGATCGAATGTATTTATGGGGTGTAAATGATTGGGTGAATGTGATTACCGATTACGTTACAGTGTAAGTTTTAGGGGCGGTGGGGTAGCCTAATGGTTAAAGCATTCGCTCGTCACGCTGAAGACCCGGGTTCGTATCCCCACATGGGCACAATGTGTGAAGCCCATTTCTGGTGTCCCCCCGCCGTGATGTTGCTGGAATATTGCTAAAAGCGGCGTAAAACCAAACTCAGTCAGTCAGTGTAAGTTTTATATTTGTATACTATTTAAGTCATAGTGCATTAAAGGTTGTCAAGATTGAGTGTGAAGACTGTATTGGATGGTTGGTGTTTAACGCCGCACTCAGCAATATTCCAGCAATATGACAGCGGTCTGTAAATAATCGAGTCTGGGCCAGACAATCCAGTGATCAACATCATGAGCATCGATCTACGCAACTGGGATTCAATGACTTGTGTCAGCCTGATCCCGTTAGTCGCCTCTAATGACAAGCACGGGTTACTGAAGACCCAACCGAACCCGGATCTTTACGGGTAGTGAAGACAGTGGATAGTATATTAGGGATTGCTACAGGTTCGTCAACCCTTCTGACTTTATATGTGAAGGCACTGCAAGTGCTATTACTGCAGGCATATTCATTTAAGTAAACCCTTATTACAGCGGAAAACTGAAAATACATAAGTGCCATTTTTTCTCAAACCAGATGCGGAAAGTATTACTTCCTTCCGCCGCAATGCATGATGGTCGCCGATCCCAAGGACTCGTGCTGCAAGGTCGCCAAGTGTGATTCTTCCCTCTTCTATGTGAGCCCCTACCCCGGCACCGGTCCATCAGGCACCCGAACTACCCCCAATCCGAACACTGTGTTCCCCATAATCACGGGCGGTCACTCAGGTATAACTCCCGCAATTGGAACAGGTAAGAAAGCAGACTGGGTTATCAAGACAATCTCAATGTAAATTGCGGCCAAAAGTATATATTTTTGGCCAATTTAAAATTTAGAAATTTAAATTGACAAAAACTACCAACTTTATCATAACGTTACTAGGTTTAGGGTTTAAAACTTAACCATGACACCCAAATACGTACCTAACAAATAACCATTTCATGTTAGTTTTGTTGTAACCATTTATCAATCGGGGTTTAGACTCAGTATGTATTTTGTTTTATGTGGGTTTTTTTTCTCAAGAATCCAACATGCTTAACGTTTGAACGTATTCTCATGTCTGTTCTAAATGTCTACTATCTGTCCATGAACTGATCACTGTCCACTGCTGTGTGTTTATGCAGGACCTTCAGGATCGAGAACAACACCGAATACACAGACCCAGTACCCAGTCATCACTGGTTCAAGGCCGCCGAGTACGTTCTAACCTACATTACACACAGGGTCCCGATTCACACAACTACCTGTACCCCACGTATATCGTAACAACTACGCTTTATCATAGACTTGCGACGGTCGTAACTCACAAATACCTTTATGAGTGAGTGAGTTTAGTGTTGCGCCGCACGCAGCAATATTCCAGCTATATGGCGATGGTCTGGAAATAATAGAGTCTGGACCAGATAATCCAGTGATCAACAGTATGAGCATGGATCTACGTAACTGAGATACGATGTCCCTTATGAAAAAGGACTCAGAGACTCATTCTGGGGTTTATAGAAAGGCTTTTAGGTTTCAGAGTTAACGACATATGAAGTCTTTGATAGGCATGTAAAAGTTGAAAGAATTTGAATACATGGCACATTTTTATGAAGAACAGCTTTCCTATTCTTTCTAGCGATGCCTCAGTGCTATATGTTGCCCTTCATCAGGTGAAAATCACTTCATGAGATAAAATCAGTATTCACTATCAGTATTCACTAGTATTCACAAGGGGACCGCCTCCGTGGTGTAGTGGTTAGAGCGTCCGCCCGGAGAGCGGAAGGTCGCGGGTTCGATCCCCGACCGTGTCATACCAAAAGACGTTAAAATATGGTACTTGTTGGTCCCTGCCTGGCGCTCGGCATTAGTGGGTACAACAAGCACTGGTCGGCTCGGAGTCAGTATAATGTGTCTGAGTGGGGTATTCTTGCTTCACTGGGGCATGGTGTCTCAGTGGGCTAGCACTATAAAACCAGCTTAAGTCTGGGCTAGTACAAGCAGCCGCACATACAGATACACACGCATGCATGTCGTCATATGAGCGCAATATTCTCAAGCACGACGTAAAACCCAATTTCACCTCACCTCACCTCACAAGGCAAACGCGAGTAGTTATTCATAAATAGTAACGAGATTTGATATACTAAAGATCGTTGACATTTGTACCATGACCGATGAATATGGACCGAGCTATACATGTCTGTCTTCAAGTCATATTGAGTGGAACCTCTTCAGTCTTGACCCCTTCATTATGGAAACTGCATTTCAAAGTTATCATAATATCCGTGTTGGTTCGAAGCCGATTTAAATTTCAGGGGTAATACCTGCGCGACACACACATACATACGTTTTCAGCCATATTATTTTAACCACAAATTGACGCATTCATATCATCCAAGTAAAAATATCTAAAGAAGGTCAAAATGGACTTTCTTTTATTTTCATTTCATGTTATTATTTCGGTATTATTACCTGTTTACATATTTACAAATAGGCATTTCAGGTGATGAAACTGTTGGTGAGTGAGTGAGTTTAGTTTTACGTCGCACTCAGCAATATTCCAGCTATATGGCGGCGGTCTGTAAATAATCGAGTCTGGACCAGACAATCCAGTGATCAACAACATGAGCATCGATCTGCGCAATTGGGAACCAATGACATGTATCAACCAAGTCAGCGAGCCTGACCACCCGATCCTGTTAGTCACCTCTTACGACAAGCACGGGTTACTGAAGGTGAATATTCTAACCCGGACCTTCGATATGTCTGTGTTGTATGTTTGGACAGATATGTGCATGTATACGGATGGCAAGCTGTACGCCAAGGGCCAGAGCTGGGCCGACGGCTGCACCTACACCTGTGTCTGCCAGGACCCAGTCAGCAACGACTTCAGATGCACGATGAGGTCAGTATAACGCCATACACGAGCAAAACACGAAACAATTTCACAAATTTATCTCACTTCATTGCAAATTGTATGACAGGGCACCCAGTTGCAATATTTGAATCCTGTAACTATCACATTCCTTGAATATTTACCAAAATATTTATGTCAGTGCGTAGTTGGAATGGAAATGTGAACACACATTTATTATGAACAATCGAGTATGGTGGGTGGTGGAGCGGTGGGGTAGTCTACTGGTTAACGTGTTTGCACGTCACGCTGAAGACCCGGGTTCGATTCCACACAAAGGAACAATGTGTGAAGCTCATTTCTGGTGGAATATTGTTAAAAGCAGCGTAAAAGTAAACTCACTCACTCACTCATTCACTTACCATCAAAGTGATTAGAACGGTTGCTTCGAAGTAAAAGCACGTTCTCTGCATATTCGTTATTTAGTCATCGTTTTCAGAGGTTTGGATAACTCGAAGTATTTACATAGGAACCTTCAACACACACAGCTGTGTTTTTGTTGTATTTCATTATGAAGGGGGCAGTGAACATGAAACATTCGAGTATAATTATCGACTACACTGTAGAACGACATGTACCTCAAGAGGAATGAAATTATCGTAGTTACCGATTAACGTTTTCTTACATCGAAAAGATTCGTAACATCTGAAAGCTGCAGAAACAAACGGTTATAATATTAATCATATGTTTAGAGTTTTTATCATTATGTGATAAGATGTGTGTGGTCCATTTCCCACACCTGCCCATTTCAGATGTTCCCAGCTATTGCTGGAATATTGCTGAAAGAGGCGTAAAATTATTATCACTTACTCACTCCAGTTGCACAGCGTTCTCCAGCCTGCCGAGTTACTGCACTCTACAGAAGATCCCCGGCGACCAGTGCTGCATGCAACCCGTCTGCAGCTACAACGGCAAGACCTACATACCCATGGTGCCCGACCCCCTCCACCCCACCACCTCACCTACCCTCAACCCGTCGATTAAGAACGTCATTCCTATCGGAACACACCAGATCTTCTCCGGATCCGGCTCTCAGCCAGGAACGTCTTACACAGTGCAGATCGGAGGCAGAAGTAGGTCACACACATCTCCTTTCAAAACACTCCTTGGAGTGTACGTATATGATCGCAATACCATTTCTGTTCGTAGCAATGACAGTTTCTGTAACCATTTAAACCAGTTTGATGAAATAACGCATATCATTCTCACTCACTGAAGGAACTTGGGTTATCTTGTGAACTAAATGCTATAAACGCATCAACTGATGGCCCTGATGATGATGATGATGAATACGATGATGGTGATTGTATTGATGACGATGATGAGGTGATGATGATGATTATGATGGTGATGATGATGTCAGTCTATACTAGTGACATCAGAGCAACTCAGCAGCCTAAATCATGGATGGCTGTTAGTGCCATACCAGTGCTCATAGGCTTCACCAAAGGGATAAACGGTTTACACCAGCATCACTCCCATCTTTCTTTCTGGCACGCCGATATTCAACGTAAACACTTTTCTAAGCGGTGTTAACCCGGCTCTCTCACTTAACCATAGTTTTCTGTGTATGACAGGCGCCTGCTACTACAAGGGCACCCTCCACCAGCAAGGCACATCCTGGGACGACGCCTGCGACTTCACCTGTACCTGCGAGGTGGGCAAGAACGGAATCTACAGATGCATCTCTAAGTAAGTCTAGCCATTGTGATCATTTTCGGCAGCAAACGCCCCAGGTACTTTATGCTTGTCGACTGACCATGCTGACGTCATCGTAAAGCACTCACTGTAAACAACCAACATCTCGCTTCCATTCAACAACAACAACAACAAACAAAAAAACAAATAAGATCGGAAACTCCCCCAAGTGAACTGTTTGATCTTGCACTTTAGACGTAAAGACAAGACAGTATTTATGGATGACAACCTCTCCATTTGGTTATGGTGCGACAGTTCGGTTTAGACCCCTATATGTTCTTGTTTTCACTCTTGTTTCACAACGGCGTAAGGATCTATACCGAAACGTCACATCATAGCAGTAACAGTTGCTGTCATGAATGAAAGTATCTTGACTTTACTTTTCTAAGTGTTACATCAAGTAAAACATAATCCAGGTGGGATAATTGGAAATAATAGCACTCTGTTGAATAAACCTTAAAGGCACAATGTCACACCAAGTTCTCTAAAAATACATAATACATTTCTCTTAATAATACTAACTATCAGCCCTCAGGGAAGCTACCTTATAATTTAGTAAAAAAAATACGTATTTAGATTACAATATTAAATTACAAAATTCGAATGAATTAATGCAAACGTTGCATTAAATCGACTCTCACGCCCTCTACCGGCCGAACATTATTTCAAGCGAACCCCATAGAATTATGTCCCATGGAACGCTCCTTATGAATATCTTATAACGCAACTTGTGATTGAGGCCAGTTCGGCAAACACCGATAACACCGCGTGCGACAATTTTCGATGTAATGAGCAATCGTTTACATGCCATATATGGCAAGTGATATCCGTTTGGAAGCTGTTCGCCTCGAAGTTTCAATTATCGATTTCAGGCAAATCGTAAGGGAATATACTTCTTTAATTGCATCAATAGGATGGCTAAAGTGAGTGCATATGCTCCCAATATATAAAATATGGGCCAAAATGTCCAAAATGTGTGACATTATGTAATTTCTATTACAGATGCCCAGCATATCCAGCCACCCCAAGCTACTGTCATTACGTCACTGTACCCGGCCAGTGCTGTAGGAGTCTTACCTGTAGCGTACCCGGAATCAACACCCCCTACAACCCAACCCCCCAGATCAATCCAACCCCCGTGCCCACACTGGCTCCTGGTCAAACTCCGGCACCAACTACCAATCCACAGATTATCGTCGGACCCGGAGTAGGAAGTCAGTTTGGAGGGTCGCTGCCTGGAGGTGGCGCCACTGTGCCCCCGGGCATGACAAGCATCATGGCAGGACGACTGAGTAGGTTCAATAAAGGTTTTTAAAGGTTACGGTTACGGTCAGGGATTCCCCCTACCTTTAAAATGAAAATTAGAAACAAACTATACATTATTATGTTTTTACTCCGCTGCATTTAAACTTAAGTGTTCGGCCTCAAGAAGCAAACAAAAGTTTAAACTTCAACATAGAGTACTAACCAGCTAACAGGACAGGCGAAAGTTGTGTGAGTTTAGTTTAACGTCGCTTTTAGCAATATTCCAGCAATATCACGGAATGAAATGGGCTTCACACATTGTACCCATGTGGGGAATCGAACTCGTGTCTTCAGCATGACGAGCGAACGGTTTAATATAGGCTACCGAACTAAATACTCACAATGAAAACATATTCAGATAACTTATAACAAATGTCTTTATATTTTGGTTACAACATACATGATTTTTATTAAATGCGAAGATAAGGAAATATGGAATGTATGAACTGAAAAGATTGATTAACTGCATCGCGGTATGGTCTCTTTCATCATTATTGTCGAGTTTAAGTCATAAGTGTATTTATATGAAAAATACTAAGACAGCAAATACCCCTGACGTACGCCATACAACTGTGTGACAGAACATCCTAACACTAAAAACTCATCTGTTCATAGACAAATGCATCTACCAGAACAAGATGTACAACATGGGGGAGAGATGGGATGACGGATGTAACTACCAGTGCGAGTGCCTCGACGGAAACTCAGGATACTACAAGTGCATCCCCAAGTAAGTACAAAGTGGACTCTCCTCATAAAGGAATGTCCTGCTTCCTGTGACCGGGATCGTACTATCATGGGGCGTTATTGACGACTTGTTTGGTTTGGTTGTTGTTTAACGCCGCACTCAGCAATATTCAATATAACAAGACAAACCAGTGATCAACAGCATGAGCATCGATCTATGCAAATGGGATACGATGACATGCGTCAACCAAGTCAGCGAGCCTGACCACCCAGTCCCGTTAGTGGCCTCTTTAGACAAGCATGGGTTGCTGAAGACCAATTCTAACCCGGATCTTCACGGGTCAAACATACTCCCACTAGGACAGTACCCGCTGTGATATTGCTGGAATATTCCTGAAAGCGGGTTAAAACTAACTCGCTCACTCTACTGTTTGAGACCAGGGTTGCTTTTATTCGCCTGGTTGGTGACTTGGTGAGATGCATGCAGGACCACATACTGATGGGTCATGTTTTGCAGGTGCGCTGACTACACCAAGGTAGCCCTACCCAAGGCCTGCTATATGGTGAAGGCTCCAGGGGGCTGCTGTGACGTCCCCGTGTGTAAGAAGCCCGACGGTACCATCGTAGACCCAGTCCAGAACCCAGGAGTCTACCCAGTGTTTGGTTCCTTCACGGGAGGTTTCACCGGCTTCAGGCCTGGCTTCAACCCATATGGAACCACAAACACCATTGGTGGACGACTCAGTAAGTATTGGTTTATGTATTGTGTATATGTTTGTGTGTACTAGTCAAAACAAGTCAGAGCTTCCTGAGGTTTCGAATGACGAAAGTTAAATCCCTTAAGTGGCATTTAGAAACTGGTATGATGAAGAATGATGAGTTCATGGATTGACAACTTCTTTATTGCAATACATCCGATGTAGATGTAGATGCTCATGCTTGCTTGATAACGGTTGTTTTCAGACCATAAAATGTGTTCCTCTTGGACGATCGTTAAGTTGACATGGTCGATGGGAATTGCCACAAACAGGCTTCGGGGGTTCTGTAATCGTATAGACCCAGTTACAGCTTCTATACTTTGGGAAGGGTCTAATAGATTATAGGGGCGGTGGTCCCCCGCCGTGATATTGCTGGAATATTGCTAAAAACGGCGTAAAACCATAGTCAGTCAGTCAGCTAACAGATTATCATTAATAACAGATTAGTTTCATACGTCACACATGTCGCCCCCAAAAGTGCATTCGAGCCCAGGATAAACACTTTAGACACCTTTGTCCCGTGCTGGGTTCCACGTCAACCAAGAGGTCCACAATGACGAAGATGTTCCCCTCGTATGCTGATGTAATACATGTTAACGTCCCCTCCCTCCATCCACAGATGCCTGTGTCTACAAGTCTACGGTGTATCAGGTGGGTCAGAAGTGGGACGATGGCTGCGACTTCAACTGCGAGTGTCTCGACGCCCAAACCGGCCGTTACAGATGCATACCCAAGTAGGTGGACCTCAGTCCCGTCCATACTTATAGCCACCAAACACCTGCTGTTGCACTTGATTTGTGATGGATGGTTGTAGTTTAACGCCGCACTCAGCAATATTCAAGCTATATGGCGACGGTCTGTAAATAATCAAGCCTGGACCAGACAATCCAGTGATCAACAGAATTAGCATCAATTTACGCACTTGGGAGCAACTGTCAAGCCGGTCAGCGTGCCTGACCACCCGATCCCGTAAGTCGCCTGTTACGACAGGCATGGGCTTCTCATGGGTCACATAGTCATGGACTAAGCAGGAAAAGTTGAAAGATGTGAAGTTTCAGTTTAAATGTTTTCTTCAGATGTCATCTACCCGTAAGTATACCACGCGGATGGTCAGTTATACACAGAGAACGGGTTGTTTGTCAGCTATGGGGTAGTAGGTGAGTGGATACAGCGTTAGCTTGTCACTGCCAACACCCGGTTTGATTCTTTACGTTGTATGATACGAGGGCGATTTCGCAAGCCTCCCGATGTGAGAATCCCACCGCACGAATGTTGCTGAAAACAGCGACAAACCATACTCACTTATTCATAAACAACCCGCAGCTGGTTTCTGAAATATTGCATCAAGCGGCATAAAATCGCACTCACTCACTCATGCTACATATACATGACATCCATGGGTTTTCACAGGTGTGCAACCTATACACGACTGCCCCGATGTGTCGAATGATTGACGTGCCTGGACAGTGTTGTAAGCAGGTGTCATGCCTCTCCCCAACCAACCCGGGTCCCACCTACTCCACGGGTGGTGCCAACATCTCACCACAGGCGGGAGTCTGTCCCCCCAAAGACAAGCTGGACAACTGTGCTGCCTTCGGCCAATACTCCTGTAAGGCTCCTTACGAAGCATGGGCGAGAGAGAACTGTCCAATCTATTGTGGAATCTGTCGTAAGTACAACCTGTATGTTCACCATGCTATCCTGGTGATGGTATAGACACCTGCACTGTATGTTCACCATGCAATCTTGGTCATGGTATGGACACCTGCAATGTATGTTCACCATGATATCTTGGTCATGGTAAAGACACCTGCACTGTATGTTCACATTGCTATCTTGGCCATAGTGTAGACACATGCAAGGTATGTTCACCATGCTATCTTGGTCATGGTATAGACACCTGCAATGTATGTTCACCATGATATCTTGGTCATGGTAAAGACACCTGCACTGTATGTTCACATGCCATCTTGGTCATGGTATAGACACCTGCACTGCATGTTCACCATGCTATCTTGGTCTTAGTATAGACACCTGTATGTTCACCATGCTATCTTGGTCATGGTATAGACACCTGCACTGCATGTTCACCATGCTATCTTTGTCTTAGTATAGACACCTGTATGTTCACCACACTATCTTTGACATGGTATAGACACCTGCACTGTATGTTCACCATGCTATCTTGTTCATGGTATAAACACCTGCACTATATGTTCACCACACTATCTTTGTCATGGTATAGACACCTGCAATGTATGTTCACCATGATATCTTGGTCATGGTAAAGACACCTGCACTGTATGTTCACCATGCTATCTTGTTCATGGTATAAACACCTGCACTATATGTTCACCACACTATCTTTGTCATGGTATAGACACCTGCAATGTATGTTCACCATGATATCTTGGTCATGGTAAAGACACCTGCACTGTATGTTCACATGCCATCTTGGTCATGGTATAAACACCTGCACTGTATGTTCACCATGCTATCTTGGTCATGGTATAGACACCTGCACTGCATGTTCACCATGCTATCTTTGTCTTAGTATAGACACCTGTATGTTCACCACACTATCTTTGACATGGTATAGACACCTGCACTGCATGTTCACCATGCTATCTTTGACATGGTATAAACACCTGCACTGTATGTTCACCATGCTATCTTGTTCATGGTATAAACACCTGCACTATATGTTCACCACACTATCTTTGTCATGGTATAGACACCTGCACTGCATGTTCACCATGCTATCTTTGACATGGTATAGACACCTGCACTATATGTTCACCATGCTATCTTGTTCATGGTATAAACACCTGCACTGCATGTTCACCATGCTATCTTTGTCATGGTATAGACACCTGCACTATATGTTCACCATGCTATCTTGTTCATGGTATAAACACCTGCACTGCATGTTCACCATGCTATCTTGTTCATGGTATAAACACCTGCACTGTATGTTCACCACACTATCTTTGACATGGTATAAACACCTGCACTGTATGTTCACCATGCTATCTTTGACATGGTATAAACACCTGCACTGTATGTTCACCATGCTATCTTGTTCATGGTATAAACACCTGCACTGTATGTTCACCACACTATCTTTGTCATGGTATAGACACCTGCACTGCATGTTCACCATGCTATCTTTGACATGGTATAAACACCTGCCTGTCACCATGCTATCTGTATGTTCACATGCATGTTCTACAACACCTGCACTGTATGTTCACCATGCTATCTTTGTCATGGTATAAACACCTGCACTGCATGTTCACCATGCTATCTTTGTCATGGTATAGACACCTGCACTATATGTTCACCATGCTATCTTGTTCATGGTATAAACACCTGCACTGCATGTTCACCATGCTATCTTGTTCATGGTATAAACACCTGCACTGTATGTTCACCACACTATCTTTGACATGGTATAAACACCTGCACTGTATGTTCACCATGCTATCTTTGACATGGTATAGACACCTGCACTATATGTTCACCATGCTATCTTGTTCATGGTATAAACACCTGCACTGTATGTTCACCATGCTATCTTGTTCATGGTATAAACACCTGCACTGTATGTTCACCACACTATCTTTGACATGGTATAAACACCTGCACTGTATGTTCACCACACTATCTTTGACATGGTATAAACACCTGCACTGTATGTTCACCATGCTATCTTTGACATGGTATAAACACCTGCACTGTATGTTCACCATGCTATCTTTGACATGGTATAAACACCTGCACTGTATGTTCACCACACTATCTTTGACATGGTATAAACACCTGCACTGTATGTTCACCATGCTATCTTGTTCATGGTATAAACACCTGCACTGTATGTTCACCATGCTATCTTGTTCATGGTATAAACACCTGCACTGTATGTTCACCACACTATCTTTTTCATGGTATAGACACCTGCACTGCATGTTCACCATGCTATCTTTGTCATGGTATAAACACCTGCACTGTATGTTCACCATGCTATCTTTGACATGGTATAGACACCTGCACTGTATGTTCACCATGCTATCTTGTTCATGGTATAAACACCTGCACTGTATGTTCACCTGCACTACACCTGGGAGCTACAGCTTCGAAATGTGTGTAGAACGAATCACTGTTAATACAAATGGCACCATTCCTTGTCTATATATGTCAAGACATCAAAAGAATTTTGAACTCTGGAGTACCAAATTTCCGGAATAACTAATATAAAGCGTTATAATATTGTGATACTTTTCGATTATGTTTAGATTTCTCCAAAACACATACGAGATTTTATTGTTTCATTGTTTCTAGTTGTCATGTATTAGGACAATTGTAGCCACGTATAGTAAAGTAGTAATGATCACATCAGCTCTATCTTACCACAAAGACAACACATGGCTACATTGGCCGATTCGCCAAGTCAACATAATTCGTTGATCACAGATGGGTCCCTTGGCCGGCAATCTGTGATCGTTGGTTTGAATCCCCGTAGACCCAAACATGTTTCTAGGTTTATGAGTACCAGACGGGCGTTTGTATGCTTCATCTAAATGGTATACTCTGAGATCTGTGTTACTTCGGGTTTCCCTCCCCCGGGAAGCTGGCACACTGTGATATAACAGTAATACTGTTCAGAGCGGAGTTAGTTACTCAGTCCCTCCTCACAACGCCCCATCTACGTGAGCATCACTCACTCATGCTACTGTGGTTGTCAGGCTTCAGTTACAACAACATGCGTATAGCCTCTCACCAATACGACAGAGGGCCGGTGGGGTAGCCTGGTGGTTTAAGCGTTCCACCGTCACGCTGAAGACCCGGGTTCGATTCCCCACATAGGCACAACGTGTGAAGCCCATTTCTGTTGTCCCACGCCTTGATATTGTTGGAATATCGCTTCAGCGTAAAACTGAATTCAGTACCCTCTTAACCATGGCAATACTGTCATCATATTTCAGCACAATGTGTGAAGCCCATTTTTGCTGTCTCACGCCGTGATATTGCTGGAATATTGCTAAAAGCGGCGTTAAACTGAAATCACTTACTATACGACAGCAACGTCACTCCCATAGCCTCCCATCACTACATCAACATGACATTCTAGTACCGTCTTCACCATTGCTATACTGTCATCTTATTTCAGAACGTACAGTGTCCACTACGCCACCACCATGTGTGGACAAGCTGGACAACTGCGACATGTACGGGAAGGCATCTTGCGGCGGACTGTACCTCGGCTGGGCTGGAGACAACTGCAGGAAGTACTGTGACCTATGTGAGTACAACACCTGACATGAATCCAATTCAGTGTGTGAGTGAGTGAGTGAATTTCGAATTTAAGTCACATCGGCATCGGCATATTGTTACTAAAACAAAGTTATATATTCATAATACATAAAGTTAATTTATAAACAAATCTCTGAACGAAGGACAGCGAAAACAGGTAGAATATCACTGATATACATGTAAAACTAGTATGTTTATCTAAAACATTTTCACTATTGAAGGCTATACAATATATAAACAGGCTATAGATCAACAACTGAATTAATTTAAAACTAGTACGCTATCATAAAAAATATATCACTATAGACAACAATACAATATAAAAACGGGTTATAGATCACCAGCAACAGAAGGCTGATCACCATACTAGGGACCATGGGGACTTACAGTGCTTTTGCTCCTGCATGGACCCTAGCTGGATTAAAATAGAACCATTACTACACTCCGTGGAACTTCCACGGGGCCACTTGCACAAAGCATCTGTGCGATACAACCATCTTAAGTCTGTGTTAAAGTATGGGAGGATCAACGTAGCACTAAGATCTTTGTGCATGCGGGCCCTGGGTGACGTGTAGGTCAACACACGATAGTAGCTGTAGATAACATGCAGTATAGGGACAGGATTTGGACAGGGGTATACGCAGTGTGTAGCCTAATAGGTGAGTGAGTAAAGTTTTACGCCGCTTATATTCAAGCAGCATCACATCACCAAATGGGCTTCACACATTGTACACATGTGGAAAACTGAACCCGATATTCGGCATGACGAGCGAACGCACTAACCACCAAGCTACCACACCGCCACTGTAGCCTAATAAAGTGACACAGCTACATTGTAGCGGTAACTGCAATACCGATGGTGAATGGTCAGCGTTTATGCGGCGTTACACACAATACCCAATTACGTTAAAAACGTTACTTGTTCTTTGTCTCGAGCTCAGCATTAAACCGATAGAAGGAGGATGAGCCAGTTTGGATTCCGAATCTGGTGTCTGTGTATACCATGGCTATGTGAAATGCTCGATTTTGATTGGTCAATCAATAAAATTAAGACGCTATCAATTTTGGATTGAAAATTCGTCTGATTTCATGACCGCTTCACTGCGCACGTATACAACACTGCCGCATCAGCTTGACCACCAACATGGCTAATATCAACACATTTATTAAAACTCGAAAAATACTGTGGTAACAATTATTAAATGATTTTTCCTCCACAATTATTAGGGAACCTCACTATCATATAACCTTCTATAATAAAAATATTCAAACTCAATTACAATACACAGCCCCAAACATAAACAAGCAATATCTAACATGTAAATCAGAAAGCCTTGTAAATTTCATCCCTATCTAAACAAAATGTGCAGCAAATCCTTACTAAACATTTACCTACCTGGTAAATGGTACATTTGTTTCCGTTTAGAATCATAAGAATGGGAAATTCGCAAGATAACGGTCAGGCGAAACACAAAATTTATGCCACTCACACTCCATCATGTCCCGTTGCATCGTTCAAAAAATACATGTAAAAACTTCAACCACCAGAATTCCGTTCTCTGCCAGCTTCCCCACAAGGCTGTCACTGCTGGTGATCTATGTTCGTACACTTTGAAAAAAGTTTGGCCACAATCCAGTCCCAAATTGATGAAAACAATGTTCCAAGGAATCCCAAGTTAGTTTATCTCCTAAATGAGGAGGTGCGGAATGGTATCTCAGTGAGCTAGTACTATAAAACCTGCATTAGTCCAGGCTGGTAGAAACACGCAAGCGCACGCACACACGCACGCACAAATACACGCATATGTATACATATGATTACACATATCTCACTCATCCACCTCATATCTCCAGGTACCCGTGAAGATCCGGGTTAGAATTGATCTTCAACAACCCATGCTAGTCTTTAGAGGCGACTAACGGGATCGGGTGGTCAGGCTCGCTGACATAGTTGACACTTGTCATCGTATTCCAATTGCGTAGATCGATGCTCATGATGTTGATCACTGGATTGTCTGGTCCAGACTCTAGCATTTACAATGTAGCTGGAATATTGATGAATGCAGCGTTAACAACAACCAAACCGAACCGAATCATATCTCCAGGTACAACAACGGCTCCGGCAACTCAGGCCCCATCCCAGTCCAGCTGCGCTGACAAGCTGTCCAACTGTAACAGTTATGGAAGCTACATTTGTACTGGACAGTATGAGTCCTGGGCTCGCGACAACTGTGCGATGACCTGTAACTACTGTGGTAAGTTCTGTTACGTTTTGTTTGTTTGTTTGTTTGTTATTAAACGCCGCAGTCAACAATATTCCTGCTCTATGGCGGAAGTTATGTTACGTTTGTTTGTTTGTTATTTAACACCGCGGTCAGCAATATTCCTGCTCTATGGCGGAAGTTATGTTACGTTTGTCTGTTTGTTATTTAACACCGCGGTCAGCAATATTCCTGCTCTATGGCGGAAGTTATGTTACGTTTGTCTGTTTGTTATTTAACACCGCGGTCAGCAATATTCCTGCTCTATGGCGGAAGTTATGTTACGTTTGTCTGTTTGTTATTTAACACCGCGGTCAGCAATATTCCTGCTCTATGGCGGAAGTTATGTTACGTTTGTTTGTTTGTTATTTAACACCGCGGTCAGCAATATTCCTGCTCTATGGCGGAAGTTATGTTACGTTTGTCTGTTTGTTATTTAACACCGCGGTCAGCAATATTCCTGCTCTATGGCGGAAGTTATGTTACGTTTGTCTGTTTGTTATTTAACACCGCGGTCAGCAATATTCCTGCTCTATGGCGGAAGTTATGTTACGTTTGTCTGTTTGTTATTTAACACCGCGGTCAGCAATATTCCTGCTCTATGGCGGAAGTTATGTTACGTTTGTCTGTTTGTTATTTAACACCGCGGTCAGCAATATTCCTGCTGTATGGCGGAAGTTATGTTACGTTTGTCTGTTTGTTATTTTCAGCAATAATGGCGGAAGTTATGTTACGTTTGTCGCACCGCAGTCAGCAATATTCCTGCTCTATGGCGGAAGTTATGTTACGTTTGTTTGTTTGTTATTTAACACCGCGGTCAGCAATATTCCTGCTGTATGGCGGAAGTTATGTTACGATTGTCTGTTTGTTATTTAACACCGCGGTCAGCAATATTCCTGCTCTATGGCGGAAGTTATGTTACGTTTGTCTGTTTGTTATTTAACACCGCAGTCAGTAATATTCCTGCTCTATGGCGGAAGTTATGTTACGTTTGTCTGTTTGTTATTAAACACCGCAGTCAGTAATATTCCTGCTCTATGGCGGAAGTTATGGTACGTTTGTCTGTTTGTTATTTAACACCGCGGTCAGCAATATTCCTGCTCTATGGCGGAAGTTATGTTACGTTTGTCTGTTTGTTATTTAACACCGCAGTCAGTAATATTCCTGCTCTATGGCGGAAGTTATGTTACGTTTGTTTGTTTGTTATTTAACACCACAGTCAGCAATATTCCTGCTCTATGGCGGAAGTTATGGTACGTTTGTCTGTTTGTTATTTAACGCCACAGTCAGCAATATTCCTGCTGTATGGCGGAAGTTATGCTACGTTTGTTTGTTTGTTATTTAACACCGCAGTCAGTAATATTCCTGCTCTATGGCGGAAGTTATGTTACGTTTGTATGTTTGTTATTTAACACCGCAGTCAGTAATATTCCTGCTCTATGGCGGAAGTTATGTTACGTTTGTTTGTTTGTTATTTAACACCGCAGTCCGCAATATTCCTGCTGTATGGCGGAAGTTATGCTACTAACAATTGTCAACCTCACAGCTTAATACTTAATTTGAAAAGAGCGATAGGATCTCAAATATATTCAGCACATAACAATAAATCTTAGATAATATATTATCTAAGTTTAAATTCAGAGCTGTTATAGTGGTCCACAAACGTAGTTCTCTGAAGAGTTTTGTCCCTTAACTCTGAAAAGATCCGCTGATCGTGGGTTCAAATATTATCCAAAGTGTGAATCACCCACGTTGGTGGCAAATAGCCACTTTATGTTTGACCCTCAGTAAATAACGTCTTGATAAATCTGAAGTATTAAAAGCGGCGTTGATCCCACCTCACTCATTCTGCCTGGACTGTGTCAACAGGAACGACCGCACCGCCACACACCAACACAGGCTACGGCCTCCCCCCGGCGAACTGGGCCATCTTGATGAAGGGCGTGGCTGGGATGCCAGGTGATCTGTATAGTCTGTGGTCCTCCCCCAGCACCCTTAACGCCAATCAACCCCAGGCTATGTACTTGACCAGCACCTACCCAGGACATTACAAACCTGATTTGTCCAACAACTGGAACAGCTGTCACTTTGACCAGGTGGGTGGGAATACATCCACTGTCGGAACATTTGTGTTTTTGTTCCACTACAGAATTTAATGATAAAGAATTTTTGGGAAATCGAGGATGCCCCATGTTCTATTGGTTATTTATTTAACTATTTGGGGGTGGACTGCCCCCTGAAGAGATGAATGCCTAAGAATCCGAACAGGGCCCAAACTTTGTACTTTATAAAACTTATATGTATTTAACTGTATTTTCAAAATAATCAACTGCCGTCTTGTTGTAGCATCAAATTCCAGAACGGGAATGTTTGTTAAATTCAGGGTTTACCTTTTTCGCGAACACATGGTGTCGTCACGGACTTTTATTGATGCTTAATTATCTACACAGTTGTGTTTATCTCACCCAAATGAATCTCTTGCGTTGTCATTTTGAATGTAATTTAAGTACCTAAACCGTGACTACAGTGAGTGAGTGAGTATGGTTTTACGCCGCTTTTGGCAAATTCAAGCAATGTCACGACGCGGAACACCAGAAATGGGCTTCATACATTGTGCCCATGTGGGGAATCAAACCCGGGTCTTCGGCGTGACCAGCGAACGCTTTAACCACTAAGCTACGCTACCAGCCCCCGTTAGTATAGATGGTGTTTGTGTTGATTCCCAGATCCGAGTCGCCATCTACAACCAGGGACTTCAGAAGGCCTATGTGACATTTAACGCAGTTGGCGCTGACAAGATGAGTTGGTTCAGCCCGAGCAGGATTATCGACTCGTCCTGGGGTGATATCAAGTCTATTCCCAAGAACTTCTTCCAGATGGCTGGGTGAGTCCCAATAATACAACAAGCTGGGTCGCTTTTCGTGGTTACCACAATTCCAAAGAAAAAAATCTGTTTCCGAAAATGCTGGCACATAATTTTTCTTTGAATTGAATCAATCAATCAATCAATTCCCCTTTCGCAAAACTTTTAAAAATCATAACTCCCGGCAAAATGTATTTAAAAAGCATTCATGGATGGTTAGGGTAAGGCAAGACCCAGCGAAACTTGAAGAAGGAGCCACGGGTTGAAATGTTGTCGAGATCCCAAGGTGCGAGACTTGCTGTTCATTATGTGATGTATTGTACAGTGATTCGCTGACTGGCCGTGAGTTTTACATGAGCAACACTGGGACCGGCTGCTCCAGTAGTGGCTGGATGATGGTGTCCACCAGGGGAGGATGTCCATACGAGAACCCCAGCGGCAAGAAACCCGCGTTCTACTACGCCCCCGGCAACACTATGGCTAACTGGCAGACAAGTGAGTCAAGATAAGACGCCACATTCACTAATTATTCTTAGATAAGGGTAGTGATTTGAAGGAAAAGATTATATTTAAACATATGCAGAGAATGGGGATTGTAGCCTTCTACAAAATCGACAAATGCTCAAAGCATGGATTGAAGACTTCCCAATGCATGGGGAATTATCCTTGACAAATTCGACAAATAGCAAAGCTTGGAAATTGTAGCCTTCGAGAAATGTGTATAGAGTCAAACTGTAGTCTTGGACAATTACGTGTGCACAATGAGTTGCAGATGCTTTTAACACCTACGCTAATCTGTGTCAAACACACATAGTCTTAGTGGGATAGCCGGGTGGTTGAAGCGTTGGATCATCACGCAAGAAAAACAGCTTGATTCCCCACATGGGTACAAAGTGTTAAGCCCATTTCTGGTGTCACCCGCCGTGGTATTGCTGCAATATTGCTAAAAGCAAAAGCGGAGTAAAACCATCCTCACATACTCAAATTGCTGATGATGGAGTTTATCATGGCTCCCTCGCACATCCCTCAACCACATATACTAACATAGAAGCCGACCATTACCCATTTGTAGACATGGAGATGGGGTACAGGACAGTTTGGTGAATCAGTACCGTTGAATTTCCTTTGTTTCAGCCCAACCTCAGTCAGGAGATGTATTCGCTATCCTCGCCCATGGAGGAAACTGTAAGTTATAGACACACACAGCCCACTCTGTTGCTATAGTGTATTAGCATACCTGAAAGATTTTCCACTCTTAACGTTTCAGTGGCGTTGGAGTAGCCTAGTGGTTAAAGCGTTCGTTCGTCACGCCGATGACCCGAGTTCAGTTCCCCATATTGGCACCATTTATGGGTTGTGGAGCCCATTTATGGCTTCCCCCAGGATATTGCCTGAATGTTACTAAAAGCGGTGTAAACTAAAGTCATTCTCTCTTAACGTTTCAGGAGCAAATGAAACATAAATATTTCGAAACATGAAAACAAAATTGGTTTGGCATCAATGGTAACAAACTATAAACCCTTGATCAACTGCGATGACATTTTCTGATCTGTAGTTTCACCCCAGCCTTATGTTCTCAGCCAGACACCTGACTGCTCTAGAGTTACATGTGAACAAAGCTCTCATTGAGGATTAGTTGATTACAATATGCCATCATTACAATATGCCATCCTTAGTTGACTGCATCACCATCAGGGTGATTGTGTGACCCAGAACTGACTATTTATACACCCGTGTTGAACTGAGTGACCACCCGATCCCGTTAGTCGCCTCTTACGACAAGCATGGATCACGGTGATGAAGATATGGCTGTGCAACTGCTGACCGATCCACTCGCTAACGACTCGGGATGGACATATGTTGATATTATACATATATATTTATTTCTAAAACGTCTCAGATTGTTTGGTGTCTATTGTTTTTGACAGGCATTACCGGCAACTCGCCATACACTACGCCAGCCCCACTAACAGGCAGCAGTAAGTACTGAGATCACATGTAGTTTAATACGACAACCGGAAACTTACAGTTCTTTAAGGAACTTCAGTTACATGGTTTAATAATTCTACCATTTTACCCCTGAAAACACTCACCCATTAAGTCTATGATACGGTTAATGAAAATATCATTATTATATCACTATTAGGGACAAGCGGCGAAACGTTTACTCATACAGTGCACTTATACAAATATGATGCACAGTCGGGCCACATCTGTACAAATAATTTACAACAAGGACTCCTGTGATGTGAACTAAGCACTTTTAATTGATTGCTGAAAACTCACTGATCAGTGCTCATACGCAAAGTGCTTTCAAGAAGCAATTTATTGATGGATACCAGCACTGTATAACAGTATATTATGACTGTCTTCCTATTCATAAAGATGCGTTAGGTTGCCACTTGTATTCCAAGGGAAATCTTGATAAAATCTGATTCTGTGTCATCGCATTGGGTCACGGAATGTTTCGGAGGAGGTCGGGTGTGGCAACCATAAGGGAGGGTTGTCCTAAAACATCAATTTTACTCCTTGCAATGAACCTTTTTCACATAGACGTAACCTCTTCAGGGTGCCGATCCACAAACCCTTTGTAACGTTACGACCTGTCGTAACTCTATTGTTTATCACAGCCTTACGAATGTCCCAGCGCTACGAACGCTTTGTGGATCGGGAGCCTGGTATCCATAACTGTCATTTCCAACAGTGACGGAAACGTCTCATTCTGTCAACAAACTGACTATTCGAATTCCCTGTTCCAGCTAATGTGTGTATATACAAGGGCCATACCTACAAGGAAGGGGAGACGTGGGCCGACGGGTGCGAATACAACTGCACATGCGTAGATGGAAGCCGAGGTCAATACAACTGTAGAGGACTGTAAGTAAACCGTGTGCTAGTTACAGTATAAACCCGAGTCAGACGTCCAGTTCACGTCAAAAGTGACGGCGACCTTCGCCTTTGTGCAGGTGAAGAAGCTGGGTCAGTGTTTGTTTCTGAATTTGATCAAAAATGACAAACACAGTCAGTAAGAAACACTGAACGAGATTAAAAATACCCGTGGAGATCCGGATTAGAATTGGTGTCCAGCTACACTGAATTAGATTAAATACTACCCATGAAGATCCGGGTTAGAATTGGTGTCCAGCTACACTGAATTAGATTAAATACTACCCATGAAGATCCGGGTTAGAATTGGTGTCCAGCTACACTGAATTAGATTAAATACTACCATGAAGATCCGGGTTAGAATTGGTGTCCAGCTACACTGAATTAGATTAAATACTACCCATGAAGATCCGGGTTAGAATTGGTGTCCAGCTACACTGAATTAGATTAAATACTACCCATGAAGATCCGGGTTAGAATTGGTGTCCAGCTACACTGAATTAGATTAAATACTACCCATGAGGATCCGGGTTAGTATTCAGCAACCAAAGCTTGTCGTAAGAGCCGCCTAACGGGATCGGGTTGTCAGGCTTGGTCGACACATGTCATTGTATCCCAATTGCGTAGCTTGATAATCATGGCTTCCCCCAAACACCCTTCCAATTCCATCCCTCTACTTTATGTTACCTATAGCCACTATATTGTCGATTCCATGCCGTTAATCACTGGATTGTATGGTCCAGAATCGATTATTTACAGACCGCCGCCTTATAGCTGGAACAGCAATGACTAAAAACTGGCCGTGGATTATTTGTAGTACTACCTGTAAATGCCAGGTACTTCACCAAGTGCTGAATGTATTCCGTCTCCTGAACAACGTCTTGGCTGGACCTTCCGGTTGGACCCTTGTTACAAAGCTGTATAGCAACAGTTGGACCATTTGCACAGGTCATTCTCAGATCAATCATTCCTGTGGTAGGATACGGTCATGTTCGGTCTACTAACACATTGTCTACAATGGCTGACTTGTTTTCCAGCTGTCCCATCTACAACAACCTGGACCCAGCTTGCACCCTGGTGAAGAAGCCCGGGCAGTGTTGCAGTGTGCCAGACTGCCCCCAGTCACAGCGTGAGTGTTTCCTAGAATCCACCTGAAAAGTTTAGTTGTCATCACCTCCATATAACCCAAATCCATAAGGAGCGGTAGGGTAGCCTAGTGGTTAAAGCGTTCGCTCGTCACGCCGAAGGCCCGAGTTCGATTCCCTACATGAGTACTAGGTGTGAAGCCCATTTCTGGTGTACCCCGCCGTGATATTCCTGGAAGATTGCTAAAGGCAGTGTAAAACCCAACTCACCCCCAACCCATAACTATTACCGGTATCGCAATCACTAGCCTTGACTTTTGAGTGTGTGATGAATAGGGTTCAGTGTGTTATTATTGGGTGTATTTGGGTCCACAAAGCATTCGTAGAGTTACGAGCTATCGTAACACTATAGTTTACAGTAGGATTACGATGGGCGTTGAGCTACGAATGCTCTGTGGATTGGAACCAGTTCGGCAAAGTACTCGTAGCGTTATGACTAACACCAGTCTATGTACTGGAGTTACGATCACCTAAGCGATGGACTTACCATTACGCTAAGATCGTTTTGTCAGACAATCAGGTGGTCAGGCTCAGTGACGTGTTTCAATGCAAACAAATTGCCATCGTAGTAAGCAAATAAACAAAAGTACACGTACACATCATCAGGGGTTTTACATTGTATTTTGCCTGCTTCCTGTTTAATGTGACTGAGGTCCTATGCGGCAAGGTTTTATCAGCATTAATTCAACTGTGCCATAGATATAATGTTCTAGTATCAAGCACCAATATCATATGTTTCCAGAGCAATGTCTGTACAAGGGTCAGAGCTACGGGCAAGGCAAGACTTGGCGCGACGGCTGTGACTTCCAATGTACCTGCGTAGATGCCACCAAGGGCATGTACAACTGTAAAGCCCTGTAAGTCTCACCTTTCTCTAACCACGTGTTAAAAGGCCATTTCACGTACCACTTTGTCTTCTATATGCTGTATACCCGTGCGTGCGTGCGTGCTTGTCTGTGTGTGTCTGTTTGGGAGAGAGGGACACAGAGAGAGAAAGAGAGAAGGGGAAGGTTGATGGTGGGCACGGAGAGCCTGTATCTGAAATCATATTCATGTTTAAAAGTAGATGTCATATAACCATCGTCTTACTGTTATTATTGTTGTTGTTATTCGTGTTCCTGATGCCTCTGCTAGTGTTATTATCATCATACTGGATTATATCCTTGCAGCAGTATTCGTGTAAATTTGAATGTTAATAAAAGTTATAGCATTATTTTTATTATTGATATTATCATTTAATCTCCAGGTGTCTGCAATGGCAGCTCCCCCCGGTGTGTAAGCTGCTGGCCCCTCCAGCCGGCAAATGCTGCCCCACGCCAAGCTGCCCCAGCGGTATGGTCATCAACTACCCGCCAGGCTATATTGACGTTTAACAGGCAAAAACCTGTGTAGCCAGGCAACAAAACAATTCGTTGAAGTAAAATACAAACATGTTTGTGAAAATTGTAAATATTCGAAATAGGAAAATAAATTATTTCTAGTCTCATCTTGTCTTTTTTGTAGGTGTATTTCTTTACATTTGTGAGGTACAGTTGGATCGCCCAGTTGTTTCAAAGGCGTCTGTATCAGGAGGATAAACCATAGCCAACTTTGACCGTATCAGCACCAATATACATGCACCAGGTAATGTTACAAAGTACATCAACTACACAGGTGATGCTTAATAAAGGCACCTAGTTTCCTTATCTGAAGAAGAAGAAGAAGAAGAAGATTTTCCTTCCATTTTTCATGACGTCAGCAGAACCGGGTCGTGTCGACATATTCCGACAAGGTTATTAGTTAACGCGTTCTTTGACGTGATTCAACTTTCCAATTTTTGTGTTCTGATTTTCGAAAATATGATTGATTACAGTATGAGAACCGAAAAGCTTCTGATGAAGTGGTCAGAATGGTCAGGCTTTGACCATGTCTTGGTTCAACAGCAATATCATCAACATGTGGCTCACGATACCCAACACAGCTCATTTTTCTTGATTTTGGATTCGAAACAAAATTCGTATAGCATGAACCGACTGAAGTGAGGGAGTGAATGAGTTCAGATTTCTGGTCACATCGGCAGTATTTCAGCCATATAGTGACCAACACAAGCTATCCATTCATGACACATAAACCGAGAATACTAAAACCTGTTGCCGAACTACATTAAAAACAACCAGAAAATCACAGAAACAGGTGTAAAACTAGCAGATAAGTCTAAAACTATAGACACTGCAACATAAAACAGGCTACAGAACTAAAGCCTGAGTCACACCAAGGTAGTTCTTAGTGCGGCCTGCCCCGTCCTAAACATAATTGTAAAACGGGCTCGAAAGGGATAGAACGTGTAACGTTTGTAAAATGTACGATGCTATTTCGATCATAAACAGTTCTCATCCCTACCCCGTCCCCAGACAGTTGGTATTACGTTTACACTAGGTGAAATTGCCCGTTCACCCCATCTGGGCAACGTTTTCAAGCAGTTCAACCCGTCAGTTTATATCCGTTTTGAACTAGACCTCTATATCTCGTTCTTAACACGCACACGCACAACCCCGTACTAACTCCGTAACAACCCCGTACTTAATTCGACCAACTCGTTTTCAGGCAGTTCTTCCCGTTCGCACTACGTTCTCACTCCGTTCCTAGTACGTGCAGTCGTAATAGTAATCACGGCCTGGCCTGTTTCTATAAGAACCCAGCACGTTATTGCCCGTTCTCATTCCCGTTCTCTGTTTCATTGTGGAAACATCGACATCACAATGCCTCCCAGTGGCTCTGTCAAGAGGGCACTAGATGACTTCTTTTCTGAGATCCAATACCAAAGCATTACATACATCTTTCACCAACAAGCAGGTTGTGTTTCTGACTATCCGGAATTCATACTGCAAGGTGACACAGGAATCTCCTGATGTCAGATGACGAAAATGGCGAGCTTCATCCCTGGTTCCAAAGCCTTTCTGTAATTGGCGTCTTCTTTTTAAATGAAGGGGTTGATGCGTTTAACAAATGATTCCAGCCGAACCAAATGGTCAATAGTGCTTCTGTTTTTGCGAAAACCACATTGGATGTTAGTAATAAGATTATTGGATTCTAGAAACCATACTAATCTATTATTGACCATGCGTTCCATGGTCTTGCAAACGCAGCTAGTTAGTGAAATAGGTCTGTAGTTTGATGAATCTGTATGATCCCGGCCAGGCTTAGGTATTGGTACAACAATGGCATGACGCCACGAATGAGGAAAGTGCCCTGTTGTCCAAATATTATCAAAAATGTTCAGAAGTGTTTCAAGACATGCATTGGGTAAACGTTTCAGGAGCTGATAGTGGATATTATCAGCACCTGTTGCCGTATCATGAGCTTGCGCTAAGGCAATATTCAGCTCATGTAGTGAAAATACTTCATTATAATCTTCACCATTATCAGAGTGAAAGTTAATTTTAAGTTTTTCGTGATGATCTTTATATTTCTGAAACTTTGGATTATAGTTTGATGAAGAAGAATGTGTAGCTAAAGTTTCACCCAACTTGTTTGCAATGTCAATTTTATCAGTTAAAAGATCGTGTCCATCTTTGAGATGATGAACACTAGAATTTCTACCTTTGCCCTTGATTCTCTGTATAATGTTCCACACCTTCGTCATTGGCGTACGGGAATTAACCCTTGATACAAAGTTCATCCAAGACTGACGTTTACTTTGTTTAAAAGTACGTCGAACCTTGGCATTGTTTATTTTAAAATTATCTAAATTGTGAACTGTAGGGTGACGTCGAAAGTATTTCTCTGCCTTCTTCCTACACTTCGTAGCTTGTTTACAATCGTCAGTAAACCATGGTTTACGAACATGTGGTTTAACAGAAGCCTTAGGAATAGTTTCATCGGTAATATTCTTCAGTTTAGCAGAGAACAACTCAATCGGATCTGAAACATTGACAAAAAGGTCAGATTTCGAGTTGTCAGCACACAGTGTCTGAAATAATGGCCAGTTAGCCTTATTAAAATTCCACCTTGTAGTAGATCGGTCATCACTCGGGTTTATAGCGGAAAGTATTGTAGGAAAATGGTCACTTCCACACAGGTCATCGTGGACAGACCACTTAAATTGGTTATAAATACTTGGGTCTGTGAGCGACAGATCGAGTGCAGAATACGTTCCTGAACCAGGGTGTAAATATGTGACAGATCCATCATTAAAGATGCATAACTTATTGTTTGAAATGAAGTCCTCAATGATTTTTCCTTTATTGTTGGTATCGGTACTACCCCACAAAGGATTATGGCCGTTTAGATCTCCCATGATTATACATGGTTAAGGAAGTTAGTCAAAGAGATCCTGAAGATCGGACTGCTGAATCGCTGAAGAAGGAGAAATATACAAAGAACAAAGCGTAAAGGTTATCTGTAAAGAAAGACGGACAGCAATAGCCTGAAGATTGCTTTTAAGAGGAACCGAGCTATGGATAACACCCTGCCTCACGAGAATAGAGGCGCCGCCAGTGGCTTTATCACCTGGAGGTGAGAATGAATTGAATGAATTGTACCGACGCAATTCAAATTTATCTGTACTTTTCAAGTAGGTCTCTTGTAAACTAAAAACCGATGGATTAAAATCTTGTGATAATAATTGAAGATCATTAAAATTATTCCTAAGGCCTCTGCAATTCCATTGTATTAAATTAATAGAGTTGTTCATGGCGCTTCAACAGGGGATCTTGACCACGAAGAATGTCTACTCCCTCGTCCTGGCTGTGAGGGAGTGACCTCCATATCAAGAGGTCCAAACGGATTATGAACCGTCACGGATGTTGACGAGGTAGATGGTACCTCTAAATGCTGGAGGGCCTTTGACCTTCGCATCTTTTTCTTTTCATTTGACAAATGGCTAATGTTTCCTGGATTTGATTGTGTCTCTGGTTCTTGTTCTGTCTGTGAGGGAGATGTTGATGAACTTTGCTCATTTTGAGAGGACTGGGTGTATTCATTAATTGTAACTTGTTTGGCCTTTACCCAAGATATGGCTGTCTGGCATGAAGTTGAAACCTTTGTTACAGGATGATGAACAGAGGTAGAAACAGTGGCTGAATATGTTCGAGTTGTAGTAGTTTGAGACTGTGCAGGTATTAACTTTTTGGCTTCTTGGTAGGAGAGGTTGTTAGTGATTTTGATTTTGAGAATCTTTGACTCGAGTTCAAAATTAGGATTTGGACGATGCCATGTGCTCAGCGTTACAGTTAGCACATCTGATGTCTTTTGTACATTCAGTGTTATCATGAGCCCCACTGCAACATGCATACTGTTTTACGAGTGCATGACTTGGCAGCGTGTCCAAATTTTTGGCACTTAAAACATCGCAGCGGATTAGGGATGTAAACATCAACTGGGATATTAAAGTAACCAGCTTTAATAGCTTTTGGTAGAGCCGACAGCCCAAAGGTGAACAGGTAAGTATTTGTTTTAATTATATCTGCCTCCTGTTTTCTGGTAAACCGCTTAACAGCAGTGACTCCTTGGTGTTTCAATTCATCAACAATTTCTTCTTCTGTCATATACGCCAGACAACGAGATCAGTCACAGACGATACCTCTGCAAGAGTTCAATGTCCTGTGCACAGAGACAACAACCTGTGTATTAACAAATTGTAATCCCAACAAGTTTACAGATTGTTGCCTCCGGGCACATTCAACAAGAAGTGAGCCAGAACGAAGACGTGTGACGTTTGTTACCTCTCCACAGACACCTTTGATACCCATGGATATAGCAAAGGTATTCAGTTTCAATGGACTTCCATCTGCGGTTTCAATAAATCCAGCCATGAATCCACTACCGCTGAAGAGACTTCATCATCAGATGATGTTGAAAGATGTCGACGTTTATTCGTTTTTGAACCAGGGGGAATGTTGTGAGCCATGGTAATATAATGATTTTCAGCAACCCTGATCTCCACCCGCCATCGAGTGTCAACAAGGACGATCCTGCAGTGGAAACCAAACTGCACGATCAGAGCTACAGGGATGTTATACTCCAGAAATACAGACATAAATAGCTAAGAAATCAAAAAGAAGAAGTGTCAAGCTGGTTCGGCCCTTGACAGTCTTCTTAAGAAACTCAGAATTTAGAGGTCTATACCACCAGATTGGCCCATGAGCCACCGCCTACTGGCATAGGACTCTAGGCAAAATGTAAATTTGCATTAATAAGGTTGTCACAGTCTTTCCATGCACAGGGCATGACGTGACCAGCCGATTGATAGAACCGGGCCAGTTCTACCACCCGTCTAGGTGAAGTAAGGGGCGAAGTGGTGTGTTGGGCAAAAGAAACACGGTTCCAGGCTCCCAGTGCCCTCAACCACCAGCCTCCCGTCCTCCACCGACACAGGGACGCAACCCACGGCAAACGGGTTGGTGGACCAAATATACCCCCGGGTCGACAACGGGGGGTTGAAGAGCGCTTAGCGTTACCCAGCACCCACCACGAGGAGTTGGCTCTTCACGGGTGCCGCGTTCAAGA